CTAACCAACTAGAATAAGGAGCTTACATGAGTAGGGACTGTGGGCTTTGGAGTTTTGTTTTGGTTACTGTGAGATCACTGGGACTGCCCTTTTTGTACTGATCAGCTATTTGGGTTAAGGATGCCCAAGGCACATGGAGTACATTTACTCCTGCATAGTAGGAGTAACCCCAATGTAAGTGTGTCCTCTCCCTTCTAACTCCAAAACTATAGCATCAATGTAATCATCATATTTGCACACTTCTAACTGATAGACACATAACCCAGAAGTTATGTTTCATCTTCAACTTTTAATGGGTTGCTGTAGAGTAATGGTGGGCTCTTTTCCGTAACTCTTTTTATGGATTACTATGAGTGTTCACATTCTTAGTTTCTCTTATGTACTTACACAGCATTCTAGATTCTGCTTACAACAGCAATCTTCCAAAACCCAGCCAGAGTTATCCTCTGCTCAGCTTATTTAAGAAGAATGTTTATTTTTATATATATCTGGCAATTTGGCATTTGGCCACTATCAAAATGTGCTCTTCTATTAAAAAGAGAATAAACTTCAGGGGTGACATTCCTTTAGTTACATGTGCCCGAATCTTACAATTTCCTTTCACATGGTTCCTAAGGTCTGGTAACCAGTTTTCTCTTTCGGCTCAGGGCCACTCCATCACAGGGTGCCATCTCTTTGGGAAAGTTCCACATCTAATCCAATGTCTTGAACAGTGAGATGGTAGTAACATGCAGCAATGATGGTGGAGCTGGTTCATTGACTCTTTGGTGATGTAATTGTCCAGATGAACTCGGTTCTTAATTTTCCCCCAACAGTGTTCACCTGAACTGAAAAGAAATGTATGAAAAAAGACAGCATAGATAAAGCATTTAGAGAGGGCAGGTTTCTTCCAAAATCTAGAAAATATTTAGGAGTTTTCAATGAGAAGTAAACCACAGTGATAATATTGATTCTCCACTAAAATGTTATTTTGACAACGGATCTTGACAGTGCTTATTATAGATTTCTTCCACCTCCAGTTGACTCATTGCCTCACAGGCATTTGGAAATGGAAGGTGACATTAGCTCTTCTTCATTTTCTACCATCAACAGAGCAATTATTTCCTATGTTCTTGAGCAGCTTCCACTTACATGACTCATAGCACTTCTTCCAAACCCTCACAACTACGCAATACTCAGTGTTATAGTACAAAGTTGGGGCAGAACTTTGAAACCAGACTTCACAGTTTCCTTCATCATTTACTGTGTAACCTCTGGCAAGCTATGTAATCTTTTTGTGTCCCAATTTTCTCTTTAAATGTTTATTTTTTATCAATTGATTGATGCACTTAAAACAGACCTTAACACATAACAAGTATTAATGTTTTTTGGACAAAGTCCAACTTTCCTCCATCAAATACCACTCTTAGCAAATGATCTTACTGATTACTTCACAGCTCGCACAGGCCATCAAGCCAGATCTTTTTCTTATTCTCATTCTTCTTCTTTTCCTATGAACTTAGTCTCTACTATTTTTCCTTTTTAATCCCCCATCACAGGAATTATTCCTCCACCCAAGGATGATCAGTCCCACTGTGTACCAGATACAGTCTCCTTCAGAACTTTATTCATTATCTCCTCTCCCAAATATTCTCAACACTTCCTTCATTAATGACTCTTTAATTTTGCTCCATAAATATTTCCAAGTCTCTTATTTTTTAAAAAAATCTGTGGTACAGCCACTTTGAAAGGCAGCTTGGCAGTTTCTTACAAAGTTAATCATAGTTTTATCATGCCATCCAGAAGTTACACTTCTAGGTATTTAACCATGAGTTGAAAACTCACATTCACACAAAAATCTGAATGCAGCAGATTTATTCATAGTTGCCCCAAACTGGAAACAACCAAGATGTCCTTCAATAGGTGAATGGATAGATAAACATCCATACAATAGAATATTATTCAGCAATGAAAATAAATGACCTATCAAGCTACAAGAAAATAGAAAGAAAGAAAGAAAGAAAGAAAGAAAGAAAGAAAGAAAGAAAGAAAGAAAGAAAAAAATGGAGAAAACTTGAATGCATATTTCTAAGTGAAGAAGCCATCTGAAAAGTATACATACTGTATAATCCCAACTGTAAGATATTCTGGAAAAGGCAAAACTTTCCAGAGGGAAAGAAAAAGAAAGAGGGATGAATATGCAGAACACAGGGGATTTTTAGGGCAGTGAAACTACTCTGCATGTTACCATAATGATGGACACATGATAGTATTCGCCAAAACCTATAGAACTGTATAATACAAAGAGTAAACTCTAATGTAAACTATAAACTTTAATTAATAATAATGCAGCAATATTGGTTTGTCAATAATAACAAATGTACCACACCAATGCAAAATGTTGATAATAGGAGAAACTGTGGGCTGGGAGAGAGAGAGTATATGGGAACTCTCTTACTTTTGGTTTAATTTCCCTGTAAACCTAAAACTGCCCTAAGAAATGATTAATACTTTAATAATAATTCTTAATAATAAAACAATAATAGTAATATTTACTATTAATAATAATAATTATTAATAATAATATTTTTTAAAAACTCAAGTAGGTTATATAAATCATTTCACAGCCTAGCACCTAGATTGGTATCTGAATAACTGGAAGAAGGTGTGTGTGTAAACCAGGAGTGGGAATCTTGGGGACCATCTTAGAATTCTGGCTACCCTACTATCATATCCTATGATGTCACCACTCAATAGTGTTCTTTGTAACAATAGCATAACATTGATGACCCCTGCACTTCCAAATCAGGCTCTTTCTTTTCTCTTTTCATGTATTTGCCTAGATTATTTTATCTACTTCCATGGTTTCAATTACTACAAAACTGATCTATCCTACCTATTTAACTCTTCTAAACTCCAATAGATACTCAAGGAAAACTCATTAATGCTCCCATACATGCATGTAAAATAAGAACATGGTTCTTCCTGTCAACTTTTTCTCTCTTTGTATGATATCACCATTTACTCAGTTGCTCAAAACAGAAAATTGGGAGCTTTGGTTGATATCTATTGAAGGCTTAGTATAGATCAGGGACTCTCTTAAATTCTTTAGAAGCATTAACATTCAATCCTTACAACATCTTTAAGGGGAAGGTACTGTTATTTGGAAACCTTGGCACAGAGTTTTTTCACTGTCCCAGGGTATTACATCTAGTAAGTGGTAGGGCTAAAGCCAAAACTGTCTGGCTCAAGACCAAAGCTCTTAACTACTTTGCTGTCTATTTTTCTTTGCCCATGCCCACTTGGTCATTGAGTCCTATCTCTGCATTATCATTCAAATTCACATCCTTATCAGTAGCCCTGCTGTCATGACCTTCGTTCAGGATCTCATAAAGTATTTCTCTAACCTCCAGCCTGCAACACCTATCTACAGCGCTTGTCTGTTTCAAATAGCCTCTACATTTCTGTCATGTCAATCACACTGAAGTGGAAATGAAGTTTTTACTTCCCTGATTAAAGGCTTCCTGTTCTAACTTCTTAGCCTACCACACAAAGTCTTCCTCCACCTAATTCTTGCCCATATTACTGCCTTATATCTGTTCATAAATGAATCTGTATTCATGTCTCTCATGATACTCTTTTCCTTACATGTCTGTCTTCCTTTCAATATTGTGAGTTCCTTATGAACAAGAGTCAATATAGCATAGTGCCTGGTATGGAAAATGCACTCAATAAATATGCATTGAATAAAGGGTATTTAGAACATTTCTTTTTTTGCTTCAAGATCCATATTTTGAGATTCATATTAAAAGGTCATTTCAAGAAAGTAAATGAAGAATTTATTTCCATGGCTGAAAATACCAATATGTATCATGCAGTTGCCTCTATATGGAGTAGACTCATATGTTATAATTATACAGGAAATATTTCTATCTGTTTAGATCAAGGCCTGGGGTCTGATTCTTCATTTCATGGGTTACACCCATATCTTTGTTCAAAAAAGTGTATGACTGTGTTTGTTTTGTTTGTTTGTTTGTTTGTGGGCAGTTGGATCCACAGCAATAGCTTTCTAGTCAGACTGCTTCACCCCGTCCCACGCCACCCCACCCCTACTTGTTTTACTGATAGATAATACATCTAATGGTAATCCAACTATGAGTTATAAAGGCATCTGACTATTACAGCTGAAGGAAAATGGCAGATATGACCAGGGTGTACAGAATTACTTAAGTGCACTTAGGGGACTATAATAACCCACATTTCCTCACAGCATGATTTAAATGACCTTCCTCAATTTGCAATTAACTTATTCTCAACCGGTTAGTTTAGGAACTCTGCACTCCTGCGTTGCCAAGGTTAATTTCTTCTGGTTACCATTTTAAAATAAATTCTCACGTCCGAGAAATTTCACTAGGCTTCCTCTCACTAGCCAAGCTTGCCTCCCTTCCTTGTTGACGCTTCTAATCATTTTCCTGCGCTCCTCCCGCTGAGCCCCGAGGGCGGACTCCTGACCTCCTTGGTAGAGGTGCGAATGATGCCAGGGTTAGTGACTGCTCTGCGGTTCCCCAAAGCTCCTCCTCCGCAGACGGACACAGTTCTTCGGATCGCTGAGGTTGGGACGCAGGACAGGGAAGACTCCTGGGGTGCAGCTCGGAGTGGGAGAGCCAGATCCCGGGGGCTGAAGAGGCCGCGCAGGGGTCCGGCGCGCGCGTGCGATGCGCCACGTGGGCCGCTCCGGTCATCCCCGCGCTGCTCCACCTGCCCCCGACCGGCCTCTGCGGCTGGGCCGCTGTCCACAGTGGGAGGTGCTGAAAGCAGGGAGCGGGCGCGGGGGCGGCGGGGCGGACGGCTCCTCCGAGCGCCCCCCTCCTGGCGCCGCGGCTCCTCCAGCCCTCCCCGCCTCCCGCAGCCATGTTCCACGCGCGACGAGGGGCGGGGGAAGGGGAGAGGGACGGGGCATCGGGGCGGAGAAAGCCGGCGGTGCCTCGGGGAAGGAGGGGATGAGAGTTGGGCAGAGCAGCGGGAGGAGGCGGCGGCGGCGGCTAGCGAGGAGCCAGAGCCGGGTCCTGCAGCAGGACTCCCGGGAGCCACCATCATGGTGAAGAGGAAGAGCTCCGAGGGCCAGGAGCAGGACAGCGGCCGCGGCATCCCCCTGCCCATCCAGACCTTCCTGTGGCGGCAAACCAGGTGAGGGGCGCCGAGGGCGCGCTGGGGGCGCTCCCGGGGCTGCCTGGGTCGTCGCCGCCGACACAGCCACAGCCGCAGCTGCTGCTGAGGCCGCGCCACAGCCTGCGGTTCCCTTTCCGGGGCTGGAAAGCAAGCCCTCTGCCCCCGCTTAAAAACACGCATTTAAAAAATATTTCAGGGAAGTTGGACGACAAGCAGATAGGCAGTTGTGGAATAAATGTGTACATTATTTATGGGGTGTGAGGGCAGAGAGCCTGGGAAGAGGGGGCGGGGAGCTAGGAAAGATAATTATGACCGGTTATGCTCCTGCGTCCAATTCCCCCTCCATCTCCTGTGTAATTCCAGCCCGGTGACCTGTTGTTTTTCCAGCTCCTGTTTGGTGAATATCTGCTATGCCCACTTGTTAACCGATTTCCTCAGATTAATCTCCCTGGTTAAAGCTCCTGAGAAGAATGTTATTTGATAAGGTATTTTTTCCCCCTCGGGTAAGGCCTGAAACCTATTCCAATAAACAGGAAAAAAGATTTCCTTTATTATTATTATTATTTTAAAGATTTATCAGATAAGAAATTAGATTGTGGAAATCATGACCCACAAGCCATGTTCATTTTTCGTTTTTTAATATTACTGTACGCATGGGTAAAGCACCACTTCTGACCACTGGCGATTTAAAATCTGATCAGGTGAAAGTCTTCAGAAGAAGAGTGGATACAGAAAATCATAGAGATCCACATCTCCATCATGAATGTAATTACACGTGTAAAAGCAAATGTCAGCTGTTCAGCACCTGCTCATTAACGGACTATAGGAAACATGAAATTTGAATTTCATAGCACCATGTCTTATTCATGGAAAATTGTCATAAGGATGCTTTAATAATAATTTAACTTACTTTTATAACAAATATCTCTATTAATTTTTCAGTGCATTTTTGAGGCCTAAACTGGGGAAGCAATATGAAGCCTCATGTGTGGTATGTGATTTTTCCCATTTAATGATTATTAGCATATTCTGTGTGATAATATATACATTATTTAGGGGATAGGAACCCAAAAGAAATATTTTAAATCATACTGATTATATTTATTATTAATTCACTTGGAAAATACTATTGAGCACCTACTGTGTGCCAGGCACATTTCTACCTGCTGGGATAGAGCAATGATAAAAACAAACATAGCATTGTAAAGTAAGCCAGATGGTGATAAGCTCTATGGAGAAAAATTAAGCAATAGAGGAGATTAGGAAGCACTAGGGTGGAGGGTTTATTTTATAAGCAGTGGGTGGGTAAGGTTTACCTCCTAATGTGACCCTTGGACAAAGACATGAAGGAAGGAAGGGAGGGTAGGCTCGCTGAGGGAAGAGCAGAAGGAACAGCAAGTTAAAGGACCTAAGAGGAGAAAGTGAAGGATGGGGAGGGATTGAGTGGTAGAGAGAGGGCAGAGAGGTAACAGAGAACCAAGTGGTGGAGGGCCTTTCAGGGCAAGTGTGAAAAATCAAATCCTTAATCGACAAAATTGAGACTATTATATAGTGGAAGTTCATATGATGAGTGCCTATGAACTATCTGAAGAAAGTAATGTGCAATTCCATACTTTTGTGTTTTGCATATGTTCTGCAAGTCTGAAAATGAATGATATAAAATTACTATGAAAATAATGCTGTTAATATTTATGCAAAATAAACTGTACTTGTCCTGAAATTCTAAGGGAATCTTATATCCCTACAAATTCCCATTTTACAAATTGAGAAAAGGCAATGTCATCTTATATCCCTACAAATCTTATATCCCTAAAAAATTCCCATTTTACAAATTGTGAAATTGAAATGAACTTTTCGCAGCCTTCATTAAAATTTGGAGCTCACGTGGGTCTTTACATTGCCTGTATTATAACTTAAAAGTGGAAATCTACCCATTTGGTTGATATTGCCATGCGTATTTACAAATAGCTACATGGATGACTTGCTTAAGGGCTCTAAAATGTGTTAGGGCCACAAACTATGATGGAAGCGACTGGAATGTTAAACATACACCCCCCACACCCACACACTCAAGTAGGAGTTTGTTTTGATGCATCTCCTGTCCTTCAAAGTTGCCACAAAGATGTGGGTTTAAAAAATTATGAAAAGTTGTATTAATAATATTTAAGAAGAAAATGACATAAACTATGGAGAACTCCCTGAGCTTAAGAAATATGTTACTCATCCTCTACAATGTATCATTCGACTATATAAATTCTTTGTACTTTTTCAGTGTCTAATATAGTGACCTTTCACTTAATGAATGCTTAGATTCCTGAGAACTGAAGAATTTAAGTGTATTTGGGTATGAATCACCAGTATATCTAAAGGCCTTTATTTAATTTCTTAAAAGAAAACAAAAGATTACATCTCTGATTGTTCTCCTTACCAAAACCTCAGCGTGCCTTTCATTGTAAAGGTGAATTTATTTTCCTCTTTTTGAATCAAAAAGTAAATACTTTTCTTTGAAGAATCTCTTTAGTAAGACATGACTTTTTTTTAGGTATCCTAATAGTTCCAATAATACAGTTTGAACACTAGGGACTTGTATTATGATCATTCTACAGGACATTTACACAATTTTTTTGACCATTCAGGGTTTCAAGTAGAAATCATGTTTTTACAAGTTAAATGTTTATTAAATTTATTCTGAAATTTGGTAGCTACATCCCCCCCAACACCTTATAGTGATAAAGTCACCTCATAGTGATTTTCTTCCTCCCTCAAAAAGAAAAACAAAGAACTGAGTAGATCAAACTTGTTACTTATTCTGAGGTGCTTCACTCTCTGAAAGTATCCCTGGCAAGGATAGAAGATTTAATAACCAGCAAAGCAAAGATGGCTTATTTCCCTCCTCCTTCCCTCCCTCCCTCCATCCCTCCTTCTCTCCGTCTCCACCCTTTTTTTCTTTATTCAACAGATGTATTGAGTCTCTTATGGTTCCAGGCATTAGGTAAGGAGTGTTCAGTACTAGGTCATTGCTAGGAATAAGGAATAAATCAGGGTCCCCAAAACCAGATTTCATAAAAGAGTTGTATCTTAGTTAACACCTGTTGAGCACACTGACATAAATTCTTTCCTTCAAGACATTTTCATGAAAAACATTTCATTTTCGTCTGCAGTTGTGACAGCCCCTTTGAATGACTCAGCAACATTTTATAAAGCATTACATTCTAAAAATTTCATGAGGTTAAATGTGTTGTTATCCTCTTTGTTAGAAGAAGCTTATTTGACAGAAATAAAAATCATTTAATAATTCAAGCCATTCACTGTGGATCAAAAGCCTGCAAACAAATGGGTAGATAACAAGAAATTATCCCTGATTCATTGCATATCAACATATACAACGAAAAATCACGCGAGCGTACCTTAAGAAATTTGGTCCAGCGATTTGCATCTTTAAGGATATACAGGACCTTGATATCTATTTTTTCACCAATCGGAATCTCCAGTTCCTTATCTTGGGTTTTGGTTTTTGTTGTTGTTTTTGGTTTTTTGCTATCTATAGTCTTTTGAACGAGTGTTGGTTGAAAACAAGCTTCATGGCCTCTCTCCGGCCCTCTCTGAAGCCATCCAGAGCATTTCCAGGTGGGAGCTGGTGCAAGCTGCTTTGCCTCACGTGCTCCACTGCACAGCAACCCTGCTTTCAAACAGGAACAAGCTTGGTGGGTGCTTCTGCATTACTTCTGTATTCATGCCATTGTCCTTTGTGGTCAACACTCATAATAACAATATGTGTGAGTGGTTACTGTTTTCCCAGGCACTGTGCATATATTATCATATTTAATTCTTACAAAACCCCCCTCACCATTATTTCTATTTTACCAATGAATAAACTAGCTCTCTTGTTTTAAATTTTTTAATTTCACAAATAATATGTGAATATATTCTTCTGTTAAACATTAAAATATTATAGGTAAGCTAAGGACTGCCAGCAACCCAAGATGAGTGGGACTCACCTTGGTTGGTGTCTTTGGCCAGGGTTGTTGCCTTTGCCCTCTCAGTTCCTAAATCAACCACTTTCATGAATTTGGCATATTCTCTTCAGACATTTTTCTGACTTTGTAGTAGTGTACATGTGTGCATGTGCAAAAAATATGTATATTTTTAAGATTGTTTTGCAGATTGCTTTTCTCATCTGGCAGCATGTCCTAGCCACAGACCCCATGTTAGTGTGCATGCTCTTCTCCATCCCACTCCTTCCCTCATTTGAGTCTCTGCTCAAATGTTACCTCTACAAAGTGATCTTTAAAGGGCACATTCTCTAAAATAGAGTAGTTGTTATCTTCAGAGCCTATATTTTTGACCACTATGATGTCTATTTGGATATATATTTGGGTATCTGACTAAAGAGATGTGATTCATGCAGTTATTACACCCTTGACAGCATCATTCCCCAGAGATTGCAGCCAGCAGGAAAGCCCAGAAAACCGAGAATGAGCCCTGCTAGCAGTGGTTCATTCATTTTACATAGAGAAATGCTAGTGTTTCCTGGGAAACTGAGTCACAGAGCCAAGTAGGGATGTTCTTCCCAGACCTAAGATTGACATTCTTTGCTGTGGCCATAGAATTTGTCTTAACCTGGCTGTGTGGTTGTCCCATGCAGGCCACCAGGATAAACTGGGTGTTGCTGAAACAAAGCTCCTTCACACCCTGCACTGGATGCTCCTGGAGGCCCCCCAGGACTGCAACAGTGAACGGTTTGGGGGCACAGACCGAGGCTCCAGCTGGGGTGGCAGCAGCAGTGCTTTCATCCACCAGGTTGAAAACCAGGGTTCCCCAGGGCAGCCCTGCCAGAGCAGCTCCAATGATGAAGAAGAGAACAGCCGGAGGAAGATCTTTCAGAACTCCATGGCTACTGTGGAGCTCTTTGTCTTTCTCTTTGCTCCTTTGGTACACAGGATCAAGGTGAGCAGAAAACAGTGTTTGGGATGGGATGGGATGGAGATGAGGTGAGGGTGGTCTTCAAATGATATTTCCATATTCAGCTGTCCTTGCCTTTATGTGATCTTACAGCAAGTCAAGACATAGAGAGCTTTATTTCTATATTAAACCACTGAACATTACTTTAAAAACTGAAATCTTCATATATCCTTTACCAACTTAAAAATCTTAGTGGTTCTCCGCCTGTCTCAGGATAATGCTCAATATATTAAACATGGTATATAAGCATAACCTAGGGCTTCAATTTCTTTCTTGATGACATTGCCTGTCACTCTCTGCTGCCACCTCATGATCCAGCCTTGGGAGCCACTAGAGCCATTCCCTGAACATTCCCTTGCTGTTCACGTTGCCCTCCCTTCTCTCTTCTGTTCTTCTCATGGTCCTTCAGACCCCAACTTAGTGTCACCATTTCCATGAAGCATTTCCTCTGATCTTGTCCATGTAGAGCCTAGCCACTATCTCCTCTGTATTTATATAGCTTTTTGTAAGTACCTCTATTATAACCACAGGGTCTAGAGCAGACGTTTTTGTTTTTTATGTGCTGTGGACTTTTGGGAAGTTGGGGATAGCCTAAGAATTACTTTTAAGAATATTTTTAAATACATAAAATACAAAACATAGAATTAACGTGGAAACCAATTGTCTTGAAATACAGTTATATCTGTCTACCCCCCAGACATGGAGAAGGTCATACAATTCGAAATCACTGTGCTCTCACTTTCTAGCTGTGTGATCTTGGTGATATGAGTTAATCTCTAGGATACCCAACTGCATAAAACTATGGATACTTCTAACACAGGGTGAATATGTGCGAAGACACATAGTATAGTTCCAATATGTGGAAAGAAATCAAGAACTATTTGTTGTTTCTGTGAATGAATAAATTACCATATTCCATCTAAGTGCTAAGATAAGAGATAAAAAGGAGGTAATATGTACAACTGCTCTAGTGAATATTATGACTTTAGTGAATGGATGTTATAAAGGTGGTTATTACCTTTAACAATCACTACAAAGGGGACAGACTAGTGAGTCTTTTCACTCATTTTCGTTTTTCACAAAATTCACTTTCTATTGACTCTATCCCATTGCTGGTAGGCATAGATTTAAAACTACGTATAAATTCCCAAAGAACAACACATACACTGGCCACATTGCCCATCAAACACACCAAAATTTTTAAGTGTTGTTAAATCATTTTAAGTTGCTTTTTAAAAAGCTTTAATTTTCCATTTTATAAAGTCTTTTATAAAGGTTACACTTAATGGAAAGCATTAACTGAGACTGTCCTCTTGGCCTGTGGGACCTGCAGGACCTGGCACCTGCCCACCTCCTGAGCCTCATCTCCCTGTGTCTCACTAGCCTCTCTCTTGTTCACTAATCCTCAGGCTACCAGAGGCTCACCCTCAAACTCCATAAGCTCATTCTTGTTTTCAGGTCCTTGGCACTGTTTTTTCTCCTACTTGAAACATTAGCCCCAACTCTCTACCCCCAGATTTTCACATTGCCATGTCCCTCTCATCAATGTACTCACAATTCAAATGCCAGCACCTCAGAAAGTTTTTCCTGGGGTACTTTAGTACCACTGGCATATTATCCTACTTTAGTTTTTCCTTCTTGGCACTTATCAGTACCTGGAATTATTTTGTGTGTTTGTCTACATGTTTATGGCCCTTAGCCCCACTGGAACAGAGGTCCTTGACTGAAGGGATGCTGCCTGTCCAGGTCACAGCTGTATCTGCAGTGTCTACAATAGTGTCTGGCACAGATGAGGCTCTCAGTAGGTGCTTAATGGCTGACTCACCAAGTAAACACAAGTTATTATCAGAAGCTGATCAAAGTGCCAAAAGCAGCAATTTTATGTGGGTATATAGTCCTTAAAATGGAGAGAGCAGGAAAGAAGGCTCCTAATAAAAAAAAAGAAAGAAAGAAAGAGAGAAGCTTCCAAAGAAGTCTATATGCTGACAAATATATATCATCTGGATTGGAAAAATGTGGAAATATAGGTGTGCCCAATGTGGGAAGACTTGGAAGAATTGGAAGACATGGCTGATCAAGTTTTGGAAACAGATAAGTCTACATTTGAATCCAGTACCTGCTGATTCCTACTGTATGACATAGAGCAATCAATTTCTTTAAGCATCAGTTTTCTCAAGTACAAATTGGACATAAGAATAAATTTATGGGGCTTTATGAGGATTAAACAGGTTATAGTACTTGACCTGACCCATAGAAAGGCATTAACAAGTGTTAGTTGTTTTTAGTGCTGGCATTTTATTGCTGTTGGCATTGTGTACTAAGAGTAGAAAGGAAGCGAGATCCTCTTTCATGTAGTTGGGAAAGCTGGCCCAAGACCCCCAAATTTTACCTGTGGCCTGGAAATGAAGCACTTTTAAAGGAGTAAGATAATGCATACAAAACTCTGTTCAGTGATTGATATATAGTAAACAGTTATTGTTAGCCATATTACTAGTATTCTTATTATTTTATCATCTTGTCATTGCTATGAGGGAAGTATTGTAGGAGGAAATTTACAAAGAGATGAATACCTTTAAAAAGAATGTAACAGAACTCTTAGAAATGAAAGATTTACTCAGTGAAATAAAAAATACAACAGAGAGCTTGAGCAGCAAGCTAGAGCAAACAGAAGAAAGAATTTCAGATCTTGAAGATGGTCTTTTCAAAATAACCCAGCCAGACCAAAAAAAAAAAGGAAAAAAGAATTAAAAATAATGAAGAAGATCTAAAAGAGATAGCAGAGAACCTCAAGTGCTCTAACATCCAAGTTGTGAGTATTCCAGAAAGGGAGGAGAAAGGAAAATGTATTGAAAACCTATTCAAGGAAATAATAACAGAAAACTTCCCAGGTGTAGGGAAAGATACAGACCTTCAGATCCAGGAAGCTTGAAGTTCCTCAAACAGATTCAATCCAAAAAGATCATCCCCGATACACATTATAGTCAAATTTACAAAGCTCAAAGACAAAGAATTCTAAAACCAGTAAGAGAAAAGCATCAAGTCCCTTATAAGGGAACCCACATCAGACTAACAGCAGACATCTCAACTGAAACCATACAGCCTAGAAGAAAGTGGTATGATCTATTCAAAATACTAAAAGAAAAAAATTGCCAGCCAGGAATTCTTGAACCAGCAAGGCTCTCCTTCAGAAACGAGGGAGAAATAGTGTATTCCCCAGACAAACAAAAACTGTGGGAGTTCACCACCACACAACCAACCCTGCAAGAAATTCTCAAGAGAGTCCTTCATCTGGAATCTGAATAATGATGATCACTATCATGAATACACAAGAAAGAGCAAAACCCACAATTCAAACAAAAATGTCAATGAGAGAGAAAGAAGCTAAATGACGCTACCTTAAATTTCCAACTCACATTGAAGAAGAGAAATAAAAGGGGGAATAACGATCAACAGATATTTAAATCATCTAAACAAAAAGCAATTAAATGACAGGAATTAAATAATACCTGTCAATAACTACCCTAAATGTGAATGGGTTAAACTCCCCATTCAAAAGACACACTGATTGATTGGATTAAAATGCTAGGCCCAAGTATATGCTGTCTTCAAGAGACCCACCTCACCTGTAGAAACACACAGACTAAATGTGAAGGGATGGAAAAAGATATTTGCTATAGAGAATAAAAATTATTGGGTCAATGAATTTCTCTGCAAGGCCTTTTCTGTTTGAGAGAAGTACTTGTTATTTTCAACGTTGTTGGGGAATGTACAATCTCTAGATCAGGGTTTCTCAGTCTCAGCACTGTTGGCATTTTGGGCCAGATAATTCTTTTCTGTGGGATACTGTCCCATGCATTGTAGGATATTTAGTAACATCCACTGGATGCTAGTAACACCCCCAGCCCCCTGAGTTGTGATAACCACAAATGACTCCAGACATTGCCAAATGTCCCCAGGTGGGTAGGTGGGTAGAAGGGAATAGGCCCTGGCTAAGAACCAATGACCTAGATCTCTCATTTGCCTGCTGGTTATCAGGCCCTATAGGGACCCATCTTCTTTTCCTACCCATCCTATATCCATGTGAACTGCCCCTCACCAGCACCATTCATATCCTTTCCCCCATGCTTCCTTTAAAACTCCAACTCTAGGTCAAGATCAAAATCCACTTTTTTTATCCCCACCCCAGAGCTCTCTGTGTTGATGGGGAAACGATACAAACATCCAGACTGGTGCTTCTACGAAGTGTGGTCTCCAACCCTGGTGTGCTGCCCCTGTTGTCAATCCTTTCCTTGACATTGCTCCCTAAAGTCCTCACTCAGCACTTACATGGACAGTGTTGTAGGTTGAGGCTCGCACAGGACATGGTGCTGTACGAGGCTTGGGAGGCCAAAATCCAGTCAAGGCATGAGAGTAGGCTTCTCATTTACTACTAATTCCTTCACTTGCTTTTGCTTACATGATAGACAATTTCACATATCATTTCTAATTTTTACAACCACCCACAGAGATGTGGGTACCTTTGTCTCCATTTCACCAAAGAGGAAACTGAGGTTCAGGGAGATAAGTCAAGCTTATAAGTAACCAAGATAGGATTCAAACCCAATTTTATGTGACTTTCTACAAAACTACACAAAATTTCTTAAGTTTCTGTGCTGGAGCTTTTTTCACCAGGTCATACATAACCTCTGAGTTGTTGAACTTATTCTCTATTTTGCAGTCCTCATTTCATCAAGCCTCCACTGCACTTGAAACTATCACTATGCCTTCTTCTTGAAACTTTCCGTTCTCTTAATGACACCACACTCTGCTGATTCTCCTTGCATCCCTGACTATTTCTGCTCTCTTTTGAGAACTCATCTTCTTTGCCTGCCCCTTTAACATTGGGGTTCTCCAGAGATGCATCCTGGATGCTTTGCTCTTCTAACTCTATCCTCTCCTTTGAAGGCCTCCTCCTGGCTTCACTTACCATTTGTGTCCTATAGGCTGAGGTTACTAACTCTATGTCTCCAAACCAGACTCACCTCTTGGCCTCTCCACCAAGCGTCAACTGACTTCTCCACATAGATAATTGATGGACATTTCAAACTTACCTTGGAGTGAGACGAGTCCCTATATTCTACGTTTCAATGAATGGACACATTTACACAAACCCAATCGACCTTTGATTACTCACTCATCCTTATCGAACATTCTGTTGATCACAGAGTCCTACCCATTTTATCTCCCCAATAGTTCTCGAATTTATCACATGTTCTTCATCCCTGTTCATTACCTTAACCCAAGCCTTCATCATTTCTTTCTTGGACCTCTTACTTGGCTACTATTTAACTGGATTCACTGTTTCCTGGTTTGTCACATAAAATTCAACCTCAACACCAAAGTGATCTGTCTGAAATGTAGATCTCATCATGTTACCAACAGGCTTAAAAGAATTTGATTTCTCATCATACAGAGGGTGTGATGTTATTTTATTATACTCTAGCTCCTTAGGCTGGTATTCCTGGCCCTCTAGGACCTGTCAGACTACTTCTTTTAATGAGATCCAGATGCTTAGAATCTTAGAATCTCTCCAAGAACATACAACATACATGCTTTTTTTTTGCCCCATGACTTTTCTCATGCTGATCCTCCTGTCTGGAATACCTTCATACCCCACCCCTCTGCCTAGAAGATTCCTACTCATCCTTTAGGGCTTTAATTGCAATCCATCCTTCTTTCTCTTCTATTTTTATAATATTTTAGTCACATCTTTATTGCTATGCTTAGTTATACTTTGTGTCTATCTCTTCCACTAGATTTTGAAAGGTTTATTGTAGAAATTATCATTGTACTTATGGTAGCTAACATAGTGTCTGTGTTTAGTACATATTTAATATTTATTAAGTAAATTAGTTCACTAATTAGCAAATAAATCTAAGTGAGTCATCCTTTTGCAAGAGAGTGTATTATTCAGTGCTTATTTTTCTATGTTTTTAATTTATAATTAGCTCAAATATTTTATGTAAAATCAATAATCTGAAAATTCTGTCAAATATATTGTTAATTTTAAACCAAATTTAATTTTATCATTGAGAAATGATGAATATTTGTTAAACTAAGACATCTTTAAATATGGTATAAATATTGTTGTAATTTTATTATATGCACTTATTCCTTCAACATATATTTATTGAGTGCCTACTATGCCAGTCATTATTCAAAGTGCTGGAGAAATAGCAGGAAATAAAACAAAATGCAAGCCCTCAAGGGGATTTTAACAAAATTCATCTGTGTAAAGTAAACATCTTTAAAATGGAAAGAATAATAGTTGTTTAATTGAATCTCTCTAAGCTACTAGTAAATACATTTAGAATTGCTTCATAACACCATGGAAATAGGCTCTCAATGAGAGCAAGAAAAGCATTTAAAATGTGGGGATGCTGATACTACCAGTGTTTCCATCTTCTGGTTTTTCTCAGGAAGTTTCTAGATCACCAGCTCTATAGTTGTTTGAATGATAAAGAGTGTCTTCTCCAGTTAATGAGTTTCTGGTCATGTGTACATACATACTATTGGGTGTCTTATTAAATGGGGCTCTAAAAGAGGAATTGGGATTCCAGAGTTTATGCATTCAGCCAACTTAAGAAGACTTACAAAGGATCATACCAACATAAGAGGAGGAAATAGGTGCTGAAGGTATTCAGGTCTGAGTGATTGGATTTAGCTGGTATTATTTGGAGAAAGTCAATTATGCTTGATTAATCAACAATTATATATTTATGCTCAAGGGGAAATGCACAGAGAAGGAAATCTCAACTTGTCTTCAAGAAATATGCAACTACTATCTATCGATCGATCTATATATACAAAATACATAAAATAAAATGACAGTAACTGTCCCTGAGTGCTAGGTTTCACACTGATAGAGATGTTAAAGGTCAGGATTTCAGTACAAGAGAGCACACTTCCAGCTGCAATTTTCATTGGAGTTTTACTTGTACCAAGGTTATGTATGAGAAACAGAAAAGTACTGAGCTCAGAACCTAAGAAATCATTAAAACCAGGTCAACTGAGGTTTGGCTTCCTGCATTTCTGCAGAAAAATCTAATAAGCTTTGCTTAATGTTAATTTTCTGCTGGTTAATTTGTTGGATCTAATACCATGTAGACTTTGCAATGTCCATTGCAAGAGAATTTGGGTTACTCTCCCCTTAACTCCAGACCTATCTGTCTAGTGTCATACTCAATATTTCTAGTTGAATGTCTAACAGGTGTCTAAAATGTCTAATGCACCATGTCTAAAATTAAGCTTCTGAAATCCCCAAACCTGCTTCTCTTTCATTTTGCCCATCCTTATTAATAGCAAAGCCAAAAACCCTTCACACCTCTTGCTCTCACATTCTACTTCCAATCAATTAGCAAATTCTGTAAGCTTTATCTCCCAAATGTATTCAGAATCTTCCAATCATTTTGCCCCTCCAGGAGCACCCTATTCTAATCATCTTTCACTTGCCTGATAGCAATAGCTTCCTAAATAGTCTCTTCTTCCACCCTTTCCCTTTCTCAGTGTCACTCTGATACTCAAAACCCTCTAGTGGCTTTCCATCATTCTCAGTAGTTGCTGAAGTCCTTACTCTGACCTATCAGGCAATATATTATCTGGCATTCAATAATTTCTCTGTCTTTTTTTTCTTTTCTCTCATTCACTGACTCCAGGCAAACTGTCTTCTAGCTGTTTCTTGACCTCCCAGGTATACTTAGGGCCTGTGCACTTGCTGATCCTTTTTCATGGAATATTTTTCATAGAGATATCTCCATGGCAGCTCCTTCATTTCATTCAGATCTTTACTCAAAAGTCATCTTCTCAATAAGGCCTTCCCTGGCCATACTGTTGAAAACATCATTACCTTGCCTGACACATCCCTTTACCTGCTTTATTTCTTCTCTTTTGCACTATGAGAAGGGATTTTTTGTATGCTTTGTTCATTATTATAATTGAGAACCTAGAATAGTACCAGGTACATAGTATGTGCTCTATAAATACTTGTGGAAAAAAGGTTGAATGAATTTGACCAATTGCTTTGTGCGCTTTTCTTTTTCAGAATCATTTTTCTTTTTCTATTTTTTTTCAATTTCTTCCTGGCTCTTATCCTTCTAACTCAGTGGTTTTCAACCATGGCCACATGTTACAGTCACCAGGGGGAACTTTAGAAAACCTCACAGATCTAATTTAATGGGTTTGAGTGGGAGAGGGAAGTGAGACCTGAGCTTCCTATGTTTTAAAACTCCCCAGGTGATTATAATATGCAAGCCAGTGTTGCAAATCACTGCCCTAAGGGAATTCTTGGGTCTCAGATGTGTTCATTAATTTGTGATCCATTCTCTGCTTCCATCTTTACATTGTTTTGAGAGGCTGAGGTGTTTAAGATGTAATTCCAGAATGCTATATATTTGGACTTACACAATATGACATTGCATTTTAGACACCTCAGCCTCTCAAAATGATGTAATAGTGAGGCAAAGAATATGCTCCTGGAAGAGACCTTCAGTTATAGATAGATTGAGTGAGCATGGGTTGTGAAGTTACCCCAATTGAGCAAGTATTTATTATCTATTGTGCACCCAATTCCTAATGCTATATCAAGTACTATGGTGATGCTGGGGGCAGAGAGAAGGAGGATACCTGATCTATCCCTACTCTCCAGGAATTAACAATTATTGAGAAAACAGCATTATAAAATAACATACTATGAAGGGTCAAAGTGTATGTTCCTGATTCCATGAAATGCAAGAAAGAAATGAACTGGAGAATAGAAAGTCAAAAATCGCCAGCAAATGAGGGTATTGCTTTATGAAGGAGAAATAAGGACAATTATATAATTAAGTGGAATGGTAATGATAACCACAAGTAAAGAGATCTGACAAGACTCTTGAAATAAACAGGTCTTGATCACTGCAAACACAAAACAATAACTTGTGTGTTCCATGCTTTGCCCAAAGCTGCATTTTGATTAGTTATTAATTTTGCATTAAGCAGACCATCGTGATTTCCATAGTAATTGCAGTGATAACCTAGGGTTATTGGTTTATTCTAGAAACACTCATCTGAGTGATGAAAGAAGGGCTGGCAGATCAACCCACTCAATAAATAACCTCATGGATGAAGTTAATTCTTGCATTGACTGGTCCCTTCAACCAGGTCTTACAAGTCGGTTATCGGACATAGATCTTTTCTTCCTCCAGGAATCTGACCTCACCTTCCGACTGGCCAGTGGGCTTGTTATATGGCAGCCCATGTGGGAGCACAGACAGCCTGAAGTCTCTGGATTCACAGCACTGGTGAAGCCCATCAGGAACATTATTACAGGTTCGTGACTTAGACACCCAGTGGGACAGTATTAGCAGATTCCCTCACATATAGGAGTAAGGGTGATGGGTTGATTTCCCCTTAAGAAGCCAAAAGGAGGCAAATCTCTCCGGGAGTTATCTGGGTGTTCCAGGTACAGGACTAATCCACGTGAAGAGAAACTCCAAACCAGGGGCACATGCTTTTCTGTTATGTGACTTTGGGTAAGTCATTTAAACTTCATGTGCCTCTGGTTACTCATCTGTAAAGTGGGAGTTAAATATCATATTAATAGTACTTACAGGATTGTTATGACAAATTAGTGGGCTGATCTATGTAAAACTGCTTAGAAGAATGGCTGGCACATAATGAGTGAGTAAGCGGCAGCTATTATTATCATTATTATTATTATATCATCATCATCATCATAATCATTGTGATTGTAGATGGAGTAGAGGCTCCTCGACAGTCTCATCATAGTGTTTGATTGCTATCAAATCATTTCACTTCAGGTATTGTCTAATAAAATAGTCTTACTATTGAATTGTAGAAAGAGTTACCACATGATAGATTGAAAAGAGTGTGGTAGGCTCACACTTCATTCCAAACCTCTCACTATGTATGTAAATTAACTCTGCTGAGCATTTCCATGCATGTAAAACAGAGATGATAATGCTACCTTACAGGGCTTTTTAGTAAGGAGTATATGAGAATGCACATAAGGTGCCCGTTTTATAGTAAATGCTTAACAAGTTTCGTCCTTTTATTCCCAACTCTATTTTTAGCATCAGTAATAAAATCAGTAGTAAAAAGATAAATTATGTGAAAAATCTACAGAAGCATATGCATACATACATTTATATATCTTAAACATATACACACACATATATGAGGGTATGTCAAAAAGTTTGTGGAAAAATAGTATTAAGGGATAATACAAGTCTTTCCATAAACTTTGTGAAGACCCCCCATATATGTAGTTTGCTTTGTAGATAATGGAGAATTATGCATGTAAAAGGGTTTTGTAAAGAGAAGGCAACTATAATCAAGTTCTTACATATTTTTTTCCCGTATAACTTAACACAACCTTAGGGACACAATATGTCTGTCATAGGTGCAAGTATCAAGGAACTAAATAAGTAAAGATGTCATAGCCAGAAATTTACTTCAAATTCCATGTGTGGAATGAGGTTAATTACTTTGGATTAAAATGGTCTGAGAGCAAAGACAAGAGAGATGCAATAGTTTTCTAAAAAAACCTGGAAACAATACAAATGAGACAGAAGAAAGTAGAATATATTAAATTATAAAAATTATTGGTGAAAAAGTCATATCTTTATGATATGTTGATTAAAGAAATTTAATTTTTAATGTTTCAAAGACATTCTATCACTTTCCTGTATGAATGAGGAAGTCACTTCACATCAAGGGCTCTCTCTCTGCTTGATTAATATATAAACTATCATTTAGCAGCACATAAATGAAAACTACTAAGAAGCCATGCCCCTCCATGGGAGGCCCTGGGCTAGTCACCTCACCCTCCCTTTGCTTCTCAGTAATATTCACAGTGGCTTTCTTTACCCTCTGCCTGATGCCTGTGGACTTGAAATGCTGCCCAGCATCAGAGGGGAAATTAGACTCAGCTTAGACAGCACGGTGAGAAGAAAAAGTAGTGGCACGTGGTGACCGTGGTAAATCACCTTCCTGCTCACACCAGTTTACTTACAATTCAAATGAGGCATTGCTATCTTAGTTTTCCACTATTCTTTTTTTGTTTGTTTCTTTTTGTGACCGGTAAGGGGATCGGAACCCTTGGCTTGCTGTCGCCCACACCGGGCTCAGCCAGTGAGCGCACCGGCCATCCCTGTATAGGATCCGACCGCGTGGCCTCGGTGCTCCCAGCGCTGCACTCTCCTGAGTGAGCCATGGGGTCGGCCCCTTAGTTTTCCACTATTCTTGATCCTCAGGTAAAGATGTAATTGATTTGAATCATATCTCCGGTGCAACTTAATGTGGTGGGGAAAGCACAGACTCTGAGTTAGATATCCTCGGCTGGAACCTTTGTGTAAGGGTCAAATGACCTTGGGCAAGTTAAATTCCCTGTGCTTTAGTTTCTTCATCTGTAAAATGGGTACAGTAATATAGCAGTATCATGGGGTTAATAAGGGTTAAGTAAGTTAATATATGTAAAATGCTTAGAATAGGACTTGGCATATATTAGGTGTTAAGTAGATGTTAAGTATCATTATTTTTAGTATTGTTAGCTTTTTAGCACCTTAACCCATTGACTCAGACTGAAGAGATAAGTATCTACATTGATAACCCAGAAATACTAAGATTTTTAAATTGGTTATTTGATCTCTCTTACATGTTTATTAAATGTCTTCCTTCAGGGTGGTAATGATCTGTTAAAATGGGTTTTTATTTAAAAATGAATTTATGAAATAAAAATAACTTAAAATCTTACAAAATATGCGATGGAATTTCTTTCACCTTTGCAGCCAAGAGAAGTTCTCCTATCAACAGTCAAAGTCAGACCTGTGAATCACCAAACCAAGACACAAGACACCGAGAGGTTAGTTCATTATAATCATGAGAAGGGAAGCAGTAAATTCCTCCAATTTAGTATACTGTGAAAGGTAAGACAAGTGTTCTAGAATTGTACTACCAGGATTAAAACTAGCTTCTTCTCCCAGAATGTGCAACTTTGAACAGTGTCAGGTTTTTTATCAGTCAAGTATGAAAATTAATTTTATGCATCTCCCAAAAGTGTGGAGTTGCTGAAACAAGATAATGTATGGCTAATGTTTTATCTCAATAGTTACTGTGCAGTTAAGTAGTGCTTTATCTCAATTGCTAGCATGTAACTCTCAATTAATGTTAGTTATCACTAGCCATCTCACATTAAATAAAGTATGATCTCATTTGCAATTACTGAACCTCCTAATGTTTGTTAGGTAACCCTAATATATAGATAAGATAATACTGTAGGAAGTGGAGCGGGGGAAATATGAAGAAGGCATAAAATACAGTCTTATTCCTTAAGTAATCATAAGTTTAAAGAGGAGTCAAGACCAACCTACATAAAACAGAAGATGCAAAATAAAACAATATCATTCAATGCAAACTTGTCATATTTGATTCAGAAAAGAAACAAACAAAAGCCAGGTAGTTGAAAGCTGCATACAAATGTACACTGCCATTAATTTAATATGTTATTTAGATTCCTTCCTATTAGATTCCTTAATATGTTATTAGATTCCTTGTCTTCACTTCCAGTTCAACATGTGCAAAGTAAAACTTGCTGCTGCTTTCCATCAAAATCGGATGCTCTATCCAATGGATGCATTACTGCCAGGAATATCATTATCATTTTTATCTTCCAAGCTAGAAATTTTGGAGTTCTATTATACCCACCATTTACTCAGCAATTACTAAGTACAGACACTGTGATTTATATGCTACAAGATGCATATATTTTTCACACTTAACATCTTTGAATTAAATGTGCTTGACACTCTTTGGCCTCTTGCAATCACCCTGCCTGGTAGCAGTGTTGATATGGTTGTCATTCTTGTGCATCATGAATTTGGTGATTTCCAGCATCTAAATTTGCAGCATCAAGGTCAATAGTCTAAAAGAATATGTCACAGGGAACAGTGGAGAACTCTATTAAGAAATTACATGTTTAAGAAATAACACTCTTGACACTGGAATTTATTCTTTGGAAAAACTCAAATATTAACAACTCTAAGTTGAAAATTATAAATTCGAAAAAGTTTTAGAAATACCTATACCAATTCATTTCACTTATACTTTCCTTTCACATATATACAGGATGGAAAAAAAGCTCTTTCAATAAGTAGAAAATAAAAAGTCCTCAATGACTGTATTAGTCTGTTTGTGTTGCTCTAACAGAAATAACTGAGACTGGGTAATTTGTAAAGAAAAGAGGTTTATTTGGCTTACGATTCTGGGACAGCTGCATCTGACATGGGCCTCAGGCTGCTTCTACTCATGGTGGAAAGTGGCAGGCAGCTGGGGGGTACAAGCAGATCACGTGGTGAGAGGAAGCAAGAGAGAGAGAGAGAGAGAGAGAGAGAGAGATGAGGTGCCAGGGTCCTTTAAACAACCAGCTCTCACAGGAACTAACAGAGTGAGAACTAACTCATTAATCCCCCCACCTAGGGAGAGCATTAATCCATTCATGAAGGATCCGCCCCCATGGCTCGAACAGCTTCCAGCACTGCCACATTGGGGATCAGGTTTCCACATGAGTTTTGGAGAGGACAACACATCCAAACTCTGTCAATGATAAAAAGTGAAGTGTCCTAGTTTAATTAACAGGGTTTATTTTTTTTCTTAATGGTACATAAAATAATGGTGTGTCTTATAAGTGATATCATCTTAGATACATAAAATCTCATATTTTTTCTACTTAATCCTATTTGATTTCTTGCTGAGTCGTATTCTTTTCTTTTTGCTGTGTTGCTTGGATGTGCTCTTTATTCTCTATGCCCACTCCTGTCCTCTAAATCCAGGACCTTGTAACTAGATTGCAGCTTGAACTACCTCATTGTATTTTCTACATCTAGCCTTTACTATTTCACATAAATACCACTTAATAATGCCTGACTAATTTTCCTAATGCATCATTTATTTATCAACTCATCATTCCAAACAAGTTACTATATGCAAGGTGTCGTTCTCTTATCATATCCCTTCCTCCTTAGGAACCTGTAATGGATTCTTTTGACCATCACCTCAAAAAGCAAACTCCCCTCCCTGGTTCTTCATGTTTTCCACCACCTGGCACCACCGTCCTTACGTGACCCTATCTGTGATTACTCCTTCAGTCAGTTAAGCATCTCCTCCAACATACATAGCATGGTCATTTTAGCATCTTGAGTCTTTGCTTTTTTTACTCTAACTGGAATGCTTTCTTTCCTCCTCATTGCCTGTCTAGATTTTATTCTTTTAAAAACCAATTAAGATCTCAATTCCCCATGAACTCTTGTCTAATTACTGAAAACCTGTGCTGTCCAATATAGTAGCCACTAGGCCTGAGTGATTGTTGAACTCTTGAAATATGCCTAGTCTGCAGCGAGACTGTAAAATGTGTCAACCAGACTTTGAAAACATAGTATGAAAAAAAAAAGAATGTAAACACTTTATTAATAATTTTTGTACTGAGTATATGTCGAAATGATAATTTTGGGTGGGTTAAACAGAATATATTATTAAAATTAATATTTTCTGTTCCTTTTTACTATTTTTAACGGCACCTCTAAAAAACTTAAAATCAGACATGTGGCTGTTTGTGGCTTGCATTATATTTCTGTTGGACGTGCTGCTCTAACCTACACTTTCCTATCTTAAAACTCAACTGTAAGCTCTTGAGTTCGAGGTTCGAGTTCATCTCATTTTTTAAAAATGCCTAAATCGCCTAACATGAGGCACACAACATATACATATGCTACAGGATTCTTTGATCAAGTTTAGAAGACTTATTTCATGAAATTTCTAGCAGTATTTTTCTCTCTATGCATTGTGGTTGAATAATATCTTATATTGTGTATGAAAATAGAAATTGTAAGACCTAAACTACTGTGATAGATTTTTAAGGATCTTCATACTATGGTGAAGAATTTCATCTGTAATACCTATGGAAAAATATTTCACATCACCTAAGCAGCATTACATTTATCAGCTAAGTGTAATTGAAATAACCTACTCGGTAAGAGGATTGCTAAATGTGTACTATAAATAAGTCAGAATAAAGATCATTATGACCCATTGGGAAAATGTATTACATCTCTCCTCTGATGAATGATAAAAAAATACTTGAACCTTGCACTTCCATTGTTGTGTTCTGGCTTCAATTTGACTGGCTCCTACCAACCTGGTGCTTGTTTTTGGTCTCATGTCTTTATTCAGCTCACCTCAGTATTAGCATATCTTTGATAAATTGTTGGTTTACAACTGTAGATATTGGACATGGAGGTGAAAATGAAAAGAATCAAAAACAAAAAGAAATAAAATATATGAAAGTACTTAGCCTAATGCTTGGAATGACACAGATGCTTTTCAGATGTCTGTTTCCATTTCCTCCTAGATGAAGGCAAAATCCCTTGGCCTATGACATTATAATTAGTTATGCTAGGAAAAACAAAAGAAAACAAAAAATGTGTATGTCACAATGTAGGTAATATGGTACATAATTCTAGAGGATATTCCTGAAGAAAAAAACAAAAATTCTAATCTGCTATCTCCACCTCCAAAAGGGACTCCAGGTGGTCTGTGAGACATTCCAATCAGATTCCATCTCACCCAAGGCCACCATTTCAGGCTGCCACCGAGGAAACTCCTTTGATGGAAGTCTGTCTTCTCAAACTTCCCAGGAAAGAGGCCCATCACATTCCAGGTACATGATTATAAAGTTAGAGGCAAAATGTATCCCAGGTCATTAAAACTTAAATATTCATTTTTAGTTACTTTTATAGCCTCTATTTTTAAAAATATGTATGTGTGTGATATGTGTGTACATATTCTTGGTTAATGTATAATTAATTAATAATTGCAGAACTGTACTGTGAATGGCTGTCATTTAAACTAGGGTGGAAGTGAGAAGACATGTTTGACTTAATGATATGTCTGAATATAATAATAAATAAATATATATAATATATATAATAAATAAATATGTCTGAATATATAAACCAATATCAGGGTAAAATCTTGAGGTCATAAAATATCCATAAGCTTATATTTCTTTCAGAATTTTTTCAACCATAGTAAGCATTAGAAGTTTACAAATAAAAACAAGAAATGATGTTTCTTTTCTTTTATAAAATCAAATGTATATGGTTCCAATCTGATTTGCCCATAAAAACAAAGCCAACTATAATGTCTAGGATTTCTCTTTGTGGAAAGATATTGGGTTTTTTTTTCCCATTCTCTGATATTGCTACACCAAAACATCTACATATATACCCATTCCTTGACTCATATATTGACAGTCACCCACAGCATACATACACCCACATGTGTGAATTAGACATGAATCTGTAGCACTGTGGAAAAATGAGTTAGGTCTTCTCTCTGCCTAGCTGCAGTGACTGGTTGCCATGGAAATGATGCACAAGGTAGACCTTTCAGAAAATGCTAATGTTAATATGTCTTTGTTGGAGGAGTTCATGCATTAATCAGAAATGAAGAAAACTTTAATAACAAAGCAATGCAAATATCCTAGCAACAAAAGCTCTCTACTTGTATCAAGCAAATCCAATTCATCATCTCTTTTGCGCTGACCTTGACCAAACTAAGCATCACTTTTCCCTGCACTCTTCAATCAGTGAACAGGTAACTAGTTTTTTTTAAAGTGAGATTTCATCTTTAATTACCATATGCATAGACTTAATTTACACTTCATTAAATATTGCATAGGGTCAAGACCGATTTCCACGGTTCTCTGCCTTCATAGATTGTCTATTATTTCTAGAGTCATTATCTGCCTCCAATGCTCTCTACTATCATCTTCCAACCTTAATTAATAACAACTTGGTTTCCTAAAGCCATAGTTGCTTGGAAGATAGATTAAAACAATTCTTACCTTTTTTGAAAATCTTTTTATTGCCATGTGTCATTTATTCTACGCATATAATTGTGCATAATTCTAATTTTAGAAAAACTTTAAGTATATGAAATATTAAAAAGTAAGTAAAAACCACCCATGAGCCCATCAGGTAGATATGAACATCATTAACTTTTTGTATATGTGCTTCTCTTCATTATGTTTACATCCATCATTTAGAAGAAAAGTTGTATTCATATTCATTCATAAAATTTTCATTTTTCATTTTTTTCTACAAAACAACTTATAGAATCATAGAATATTAGGGTCATAGAAACTTTGCTATCACATTATACAATGAGCTTCCCCCATACCATTTTTACGCAGTTATGTAAATTTATCTCTTACATGTTAATTAGATAGTTTGTTAGTTAATTAAAATAACTTTTATTGGTTAGTTAGTGACAAGTTGATTATATCTGATAATGCTGTCCTAAATGAAATAGAACTATTTATTGGTAATTCTTGCTTTTTTTTTCATTCTTGCTTTTTATTGACTATTTAGTCCAGTACAGCTCACACTTTAAGTTAAATAAAATGGGGCTTGAATAACACCTCAAAAGGAGATACTTCGGTTTATAAATATTTGCTACAAAGTGTGTGGTTAATTCATTGTTGTTTCAAATGGAGTCTATTTCAATATGAAGCAACTGAAATGTGAATTTCCTTAACAAATTTTGATTGCATAAACTACAAATATGTTTTTAGTCTTTAATCACAGACTTATATTGGTGGGGTCTCACTGTTCTGCAGTTAATCATTAGCTGAACTGATATGCTCTGTTGTAAGGTAGTTAATGCCTATGGGACTCAATTGTACAGTTAGTAATTAATTTCTGTCAAATAAATTTTGAGTGTAGAGAAAGACATAAATTTAGTCATCTGGTAACCTCAGGAACAAAATTGTCAACATATCATCCCAGTTACGGTGTTTCCATACAGAACTGTTTTGGATGTTGGCCTAAACATACAGAAATCATGCATTAGATGATTCTCAGGGCAACTGTCCTCCAATCTTATTAAGAGTGTTTGAAGAATACCTGGGGATAAGATTCCTGGAGGATCAAACATTCTGGTTTAGGCAGCCTGGGTGAGGCAGGGTATCTGCTTTTGTCAGCACCACGCTCACCCAGTGAGCAAACCGGCCATCCCTATATAGGATCCGAACCCGTGGCCTTGGTGTTGTCAGCACCGCACTCTACCGAGTGAGCCACGGGGCCGGCCCAGGGTATCTGCTTTTGTACCAACTTCCCTCCTTGTTCTCTTTGGGATCCTCATGAAAATGGTACATTGGCATCTCATGGAACACTGCTCTAGAAATTTGAAATAATTTAGGGAACTCTCTAGCCTAATTTACCAGCTTGAAATATTTGTGAACTTTAAGGAGCGGGGCAGAAAGTAAAGGGTACACAATAACTACAGCTAGTCCAGTAAGAGAAAAATAATTTGGTTGAACTGCCAATATCTACCTTCATCACAGCAGCCTAGTCAAGAAAATAGCAGTTTTCACAGGCTCCTTTAATAAGCCAAATGATTGGCACAAAGGCTTGAGGACCTAAAATTACCCAGCTGGTAGCCAGCCAACCTCATACTTTGTCTTTTTTTTTTTTTTTTTATAAACATGAGTATAGCACTGTATAAAAAAAAAGAAAGAGAGGAAAAGAAAGAAATCCTATTATCTTAGGTATAAATGATAGGCTGAGAGCAGTGGGTTAGGTCATGCTTCTTTAAGAAGGTGAAATGGGATGGACTAGGGGGAAGGGAAAAGTGGTAGAAATGAGAATCAAGATTGTTACTTTCCTTCAAACTGGTCTTGGAGATATAATCAATCAGAGTCTCAGGAGGAAACAAGTGGCACATTGGGCAATTTGAGAAGATATTAAGGCAAGGGTTATTTACAAAAAAAGAAGAATTTGGAGCCAAGGGCCAACAAATCAATAATTGGCACACCAGGGCAAGCACTGCAGAGGATGAAACTGGAGTGGTAAGAGCATCCAGATTATGCAGGTCTTGTTGGCCACTGTAAGGAGCTTGCATTCTAAGGGTGACTGAATAATCTGTTGGAATGGTTTGAGCAAGGGAATGGAGGAATATGAGAAGAAACAATGAGCCTCACAGGAAGTAATTGCAATAAGCCTGATGAGAGCTGCTGGTGAGTGGCTAGGACTATGGTAGTGTCTGTAGAGCTGATAAGGGATTGGAAAGAAAATCTATGGGACTTTACGATGGATTGAAAGTTGGCATGCAACTGACGTCCAAGAAGTATTCTAGGTGTCTGGAAAAAGGATAAATTCTAGCATAGCATATGTGGGAATTTAGGGGATTATAGAATGCTTCTCTACATATGGCTGCCAATTCAGTTAAAAAATTATTATGGCATCTTATGTGGTTAAACGTTAATTCATATTTAGTTTCCTACTTGTCAATTAAAATATTCAAGAATATTAGACTATAAGATAGCAATGAAATTCAAAATCACTGTGTATCTGGGCAATTGGCCCTCAACACACCAAGACAATGCTGTTAACGAGAGTAGAAATAACAAAGTATGACGTGCTTTGATAAGGGAGTAGAAAGGCTATTAAAATGATTCAAAGGGCACCATACGTGGCCTCGGTTTGTATTTTTGAACTTTTTTACTGCAACCCATGGTAAGAAATATATTTTACTAATGACTCATGACAAACGTGTGAAATGAGACAAGTTTCACCAAATATACATGTCCTTACTCCATGGTTTTTATTCTAGTTAACAGGTTAATAGTAGCCGTGTCCTACTAAATTAATTTCTTGAACCATTAAAGAGTCATAAATCTTCAATTAAAAAAATATGGGCCCAGGAAGTTGAGTAAAATCTCTCCTTCTCACTCTCAGTGGCTGGGTTTTTTTGGTTTGGTTTTTTTGCCAGAGCTCTTTGCGTATGTGTAATGCCATTTACTAACTGATAGCAGGGTACAAAAATTTCCTTTTTTCATCATCTGACTCCAAGGGAAATTGTACTTGGGGGCTACATTTAAGTTTTAGTTTTGAGATACCATCTTGGATGCCAAAAGTTCTAAGTTTATATTTTGTCATTTATTGTCTATCACTCTCACTGGACCATACATTCCTCGAGGTGAGGAAGTTAAACTTACCATCATACCTGCTAATGTCTCAGTCAGCTCAGGCTGCTATAACAAACTACCATAGCCTGGGTGGCTAATAAACAACATAAATTTATCTCTCACGGTTCTGGAAGCTGGAAGTCTGAGAACAGGTGCCAACCCTCTTCCAGGTTGCATTCTTCTCATTGTATCCTCACATGAGGGCAAGAGAACTCTCTGGGTTCCATTTAGAATGGCATTAATCCCATTCATAAGGACTCCACCCTCTTTACTTAATTGGCTCCCAAAGGCTCCACCTTCTAATACCATCACATTGGAGGTCAGGATTTCAACGTATGAATTTTGGGGAACAAACATTCAGTCTATTGCACTTGAGATACTTAAGATGATGCATTATGCTGAGTAATACTTAAAACTATTTTGTAGTAGAATTAAATTAACACTAAGTAATGAATATGTCATGTCTTTAAATTAAATAACAGAATTCCAGAACCTTGAGATTTTTTAAAAATTAGTTTTGATACCTTACATATATATATATATATATATATATATATATATACAACTTTAGAATTTTCAACATGACTTCATATGCCTCACAGTAAAACTTTTGCTTGTTTAGCACTTTGTAGTTCCCTTAGTTCTTTTACATAGTATTTTTACAATTGAAATTAAACTAGCCCAGTGAAGTAGGCAAAACAAATACATTCCTATTTCTATTCAGGGTAAAAATCAAACCTGATAGCTTAGGATAAAAAAAAATCAGGATCAGAGCCTCATGTGTTTCTATAGCTCTGACTCTCATCATAGTCCAAAACCCAAATTACTCACCAACTATACTTATGATTCTCCCACCCCCAAGGTCATGATTTTTAAAATCCATACCTTTGTAGGCATTATTGCCTCTGACTGAAATGCAGATCTGCCTTCCTGTCCTAACCTCGACTTTGCCTGGCTAATTCCTACCCATCATTCAAAACTCTCTCTGTGTCTCTACTTCAAGGAAATGTTTAGCAAAAGTGGAATGAGTGAGACCAGTTAGGATGATGTTAGAATAAACCTGACAAGAGACAAGTGAATGAATAAATAAATGAATGAGAGAAGTAGAGCTCTAAGCCATGTCGTGCTGCCCCTGGGAAGGCTTGACTGCCCATGTGATGATCTTCTTTCTGACACTGGGAGCAGGGCCACTCTCGTGATACCTCCGTGCCAACGGTCCCGCTATGCCACCTACTTTGATGTTGCTGTTCTCCGCTGCCTACTCCAGCCCCATTGGTCTGAGGAAGGCACCCAGTGGTCTCTGATGTACTATCTACAAAGGCTGCGACACATGCTGGAAGAGAAGCCAGAAAAGCCTCCAGAGCCTGATATTCCTCTCCTGCCCAGACCCAGGAGCAGCTCAATGGTGGCGGCTGCTCCCTCACTAGTGAACACCCACAAAACTCAAGTAAGAGAAACTCAGTGCATTGGCGTTTGAACCAACAGCTTTGGCTATAACAGAGTTTTTGTCTTCTGTGCATCCAGCTCTTACATATTCCAGTGTTGACTATTCGGATGGTGGATTATTCTGTTGTCATTATCCTTGCCCTTCTATCTTCTACTGTTGGGCCCTTTTGCTGCTCTTTAGTACTTAATTTACCATTCAAAGAAGTGCGTCTCTTGCACACACTAATTTAGTGTAAGCCTTTGTTAATCCAGAACAGTGAAAAATCGGGTCTTCTAGATAATCAAAGTACTAGTTAATCTGACATTTAATTTGTTGATTACCAATACTATAACATGTATGACACTAGCATTTTACTGAACGTGATTTAACCTCTGTTGCATCACTCAAAATTTTCTAGTGTCTCAATGTCATCATTAGGAATATTGCTTTTTGAAATATAGACTTACTATTTATTACAGATGTTTGGAGAAATAAACTGAGTGTATACTGATATGGTAACATCCCCATGAAAATTGCTGTTTGATAAATCAGTGTCCTAATATCAGCTTGAACATTTGTTCTTCCACTTCCCTCTTTCTCATTAATGCCATGTGTTGAAAATGTAGAGAAAAATGTGAATTGCAGAATGTTCCAGTTGTTTGTGTTTACTTAAATGTGAGCTGGTCATTTCTGAAAAATTTTTCTGCATGTTCTGAAAATAAACATCATCAGAGTGAAAAAGAAATATACTCTGTTTTAGTTGTAGAGAAGTTATAGACAGGAATAAAAAGAGACATCCATCTCCTCCCTATTCTCTTAGCATTCTGGATCTCGGGCTACATGACCTCACTGCTGAGAACTCCAAACAGAACTTACAATTAATATGAAATATGGATTTTTAAAGTTCAGACATGCCAGTTAACTACTATTTAGATATCAAAAATTAGGCATATCCCTATTAAAAATGCCACATCTCAATAAGAAAAGTATTTGGATTTAAAGCCTTAAGTTTTTGATCATTGTCTACCTTTATTGTATATTAAGGATCTCACCATGAAGTGTAATGAAGAGGAAAAATCTCTTAGTCCCGAGGCCTTTTCCAGGGTTTCACTGACCAATTTGCGTAGGTCTGCAGTACCAGATCTTTCTTCAGACCTGGGCATGAACATTTTTAAGAAGGTGAGTAGAACTACTTATGTTCTTGGATATTTTGATAATTAAGAAAAGTAAGTGTGCATGAGGTGTTTATTTTATTACATTGCAGTATGGGATGTGGTGAGAAAGGAACAGAAACCAATTCTTACTTATAACATTGGTTTGCAGTTTAACCCTGTGCATGTCCCTTTGTGTGTATGAGTGTGCTTCCCATTTTCAATGTTCTGCAAGGTTGTTATGAAGCTCCGTGCTGGTGATGCGTGTAAAGCACTTGTAGTAGTGTGCTGGTGGCAGTTGTGGTAGCAATGATGGTAACTTACATTTGTATGGTTTAACTCATTTTATCGAGTGCTTTATATAAATAGTTCTCATTTTATCCAATGAGATCCTTATTCTCCCCATTTTGCAGATAAGAAATTGATCCTTAGAAACTTTAGATATTTTGCCAAAGATGGAGCCCAAACTCAAAAGTAGTTCTTCTAGCTAAATAGCTCATGCTCTTCTGAATCCACCACTCTACCTCTCTTTTTATAAGTATATGGAGCTAATCAAATAGAAAATAATGTGTGTAGACTAGTATATATGTAGTGGTTTTGTTTCTTCTTTTTTTAAATTATTAGTTTAATTATGTTGATGAAGAACACAGAACACATTTCTAACTTATCTATGAGCTCAGAGTGTTGCTAAGTAAGCAGTCATGTCTGTCTTTATTAATAATACAACTATGGGCAATGACCATTGTTTTTCTAAAGATGTTAATCATTTTACGAAAAAAAAAAGAGGTTTTCAATACTGGCTGAACATGAAAATTTTTGAGGAGCTTTTAGACTTACAATTGTCCAGACCCAATCCCAGACCAAATAAGTAAGAATTACTGAAGGTTAGGCCCAGGCATTTGTCTATTTTCAAAGCTTCCCAAGCAATTCTCAACTCCTAGTTACACATGATCTTGAACTTGTTTGACTGGCAAGAATAATAGGTTTGTACCAATGTGTGCTCTGTATCTTCTTTGACTCTCCTTGTGACAGTGGCACACATTTGAAGTTGGCTGACGGGAACAATGGATCTTAACCTTGAAAAATGGAACAAAGAAAGACGGGCTGGTCCAAGTGGTGACTTGGGGATCCTATACTTTAACCTGTGGTTCTCAAACTTTATAGTATGCATCAAAATCACCTATAGGACTTGTTAAAACACATGTTGCTGGGCCTCATCTTCTGAGTTTCTGATGCAGTAGGCCTGGGGTTGAATCTGAGAATGTGCACTTCGAGCAAGTTCCCAAGTGGTGCTTCTGCTGCTGGTTCAGGGACCACACTGCTCTGACCCAACTCAACAGAAAGACTTATGGAATGTGTGACCTTTTGCTTAGTTTCTTTGGTTCTTTCCACACATTGTGAAAATTTCTCCCATTTTTAGAAAATTTAATTGTACGTATTTGTGGGGTACAGTGTGTTGTTTCAATACATGTATAGACTGCACAATGATTCACTTAGGGTAGACAGCACATTCATCACCTAAATATTTATCTTTTCTTTGTGCTGATTACAGTCAAGGTCCTCTTTTCTAGCTATTTAGAAATATATAATGTAGTAATATTAGCTCTGCGCAGCCTAGAACACCAGAACTTGTTCTTCCTATCTACCTGTAACTTAGGACCCGTTAACCTTCCATTTCTACTGGATGATATTCAGTGACTTTCTCGGTCTCCTCTTCCTGAATATTTCCTGTATTTTATTGCAGATCATGGAGCCCCTTGGGAGGCAAACTGTAATCTCCCTTTTTCCCTGTGCCTATCCCTTCTTCTCATCCCTGTAGTTCAAGAGCCGCAAAGAAGACCGAGAGAGGAAAGGCTCCATTCCCTTCCACCACACGGGGAAGAGGAGGCCGCGAAGAATGGGGGTGCCCTTCCTGCTTCACGAGGACCACCTGGATGTGTCCCCCACCCGTAGCGCATTCTCCTTTGGAAGTTTCTCGGGGCTTGGAGAAGACAGGCGAAGCCTTGAAAAAGGAAGTTGGCAAACCACCATTTTAGGTGAGCACAAAAGCCTTCCAAAGCAGGGCAGAGCTTGAGTTACCTGCTTAAGAATCTGGATCTAGGCCTTCCAGGCAGGTCTGGATCTTCCTTGAACAGTTCAGCCGAGAAATCTGGGCCCAAATGCAGTTCCCCAGTACCAAAATAATGCTGTGTCTTCACAGCCAAAGAACTGCAGATAATTAAATTAATTATGCAAGACTTCTGCATAATTAGACAGGTAACAACCCTATTTCTTAGATCCCTCTAGATGTAGAAACGTGACCTTAGAGGGCTTTGTGCATTAGCTTTCATTGTGAGTCTAAAGATGGACTTTTATTTAACTCTGATATTAAGAAAAGGAAGAAGTAAAACAAAGAAAAAAAATGTTTTTTTCTTTTCTGGATGGCATATTAAGAAAGTCAATTTAAAATCAGGAGCTGACAGCTAGCTGGGCCCCAGCAGATGGTTTCTGACGTTTGGCTTAGACTGGGGCTGACCTTACCACAGGCAGCTTCATCAATCATCCTGACCTTGGCTGTCCCCAGGGCAAGGTCAGTTCTTGCTGTTTTGGCTGTGCCTCATGCTCTTTCTAACTCTTGCTCTCCCTGCTGTCCTTTGGAAGACAAAATCTCAGCAGAGAATCTTCCAGATTTTAAGACCCTTTTGTGGGGTGCTCTTGTCTATCTCAGGGAAATTGACCCGGCGGGGCAGTTCAGATGCAGCCACTGAGATGGAGAGCCTGAGCGCCAGGCACTCCCACTCCCATCACACGCTGGTGAGTGACCTGCCGGACCACCCCAACAGCCACGGAGAGAACACAGTCAAGGAAGGTGGGTCGGAGGAGGGTCTGCAGGCTGGAGTTGTTTCTTCTCCTTTTTCCTGTTCTTATACTATACTCCATTTTCTTTGCAATCTGGTTCCTTATGGTTTTTTTGGAAACTTGCATTCTTGTATATATTGTTTAGCATTTACTTGTTAGCCATTCTTAACCTATCCTTAGTAGGAAGAGCGATTTGACAGCACATGATGAACAATATACCTCTCAGAGGGAAAGCAAGGATGAGCCATTCATGTTTGTTTTCAAAAGACCACAGACCCACAGGACTAGAAAGGACCTGGGAAGACATCTAGATTCAGTGCTTCGATCCCCACTATGATATCCTTCTGAAGGGCTTGTACACCTTCAGCAGGGAAGAAAGTCACTGCTTTCCAAGACCATCCATTTCTTTTTCAGACAGCTTCTATTTCAGATGAGTACTTTATGTGCTTTATGTGGAGCAAACGTGTTGCTGGGTGGAATCCAACACAGGTTGTTATTCTGTCCTCTTAACAGAATAATTAATTCTTATGCTTATGCTCTCAAAAGAGCTTAAATTTAATCCCTCTTTTCCCTGAACTGTATTTCAAGTATTCAATGACATCTATTAGTTACCATCACAAATTTATGTTCCATTACTTTTAGCCAAAAAATAAAATTCTTCTTCTTTGTTGTTCCTTATTTACTAGATAAAAACAAGTATGTTAACAGCTACAAACTTGAAGGGAAATACTTCAACTAAACTCATTTGTATCAATACAGTCTATCATCTAATAGTGGATAAAATCCACCTATGATGATCAACTAAACTAAGTCAATGTCAGACAAAAGTCAAATCCTATCCTCAGCCTTAAGGAAGGCAGCTGGAATTCTCATTTTTCTGTAACCTTCATTATTTATCAGATATTATATGGCCTTAGCAGCTTTGGCAGTTCCATAGGAATTGAGAATAGCTCTGAGACTATAAATCAAATATTTACAAAAGCTACAGCTGTGATTGAGTTCATGATTTAAATAACAGTGTAACTGATATTGCAAGTTAATATGGGGAAAACTAAGACATTGCTTTCATTTTGATAGTGCGATCCCAGATCTCCACTATCACAGTTGCAACCTTCAATACCACATTGGCGTCATTCAACGTAGGCTACGCAGACTTTTTCAGTGAGCATATGAGGAAACTCTGCAACCAAGTACCTATCCCAGAGATGCCACATGAACCCCTGGCATGTGCAAACCTGCCTCGAAGCCTCACAGATTCCTGCATAAACTACAGCTACTTGGAGGACACAGAACATATTGATGGGACCAACAACTTTGTCCACAAGAATGGCATGCTTGATCTGTCTGTAAGGAGCAAGAATTTTTCTTACCAAAGATTGAAAGATACTAACTTTTACAATGTTGGGCAAAATGGGCATATGGAATCTTAGAATGGTTAATATTTAAAATGAAAAAGATACCCATATAAAAATTTCACAAATGTGTCAACCATCATAGATGCACCTTTCCTTTTTTTCTAGCATTGCATTAGATTTGACCTGACCTCAGAATATTTTTATAATACAAAACCATTAGTAAATCATGAATATGCATATATAAGTGTACATTTTTTACACATATATAAATATACAGAATGTTTTTATAATCCAAAAACATTAGTATATCATGAATATGCATACATAAATATACATGCATTGTGTTTGCTAAGTTCTTTTTATTTCTAAAATTAGAGTAAAATGTTCTTCATTTATTTTCTTTTGTTATATTAGCAACAGAACTACAAACCTTCTGTGTAGCCAGAAAAAATGAATAGAAGTCCTCAAAAGATTTAAGCTTGCATTCTCAAGAGTGCCTGTCGAGTATAGTTATTAGCAAATGAAAGGGTTATTATATTTTACAATTACATATCACAAAATTTTTTATTGCACATTAGGGAACCTGGCTCAGCATATACTTAAAACATTAAAATCAATAAAGAAGCATAATTTAAACATGCAAATATTTTGCATTTAAAATTGCAATGTAAATAATGATACAATTGTGAATGAACAAATGTTCTTCTATTATGAGCAAAAGGAAATCATTGTTCTTTCTCCATATTGGTAGATAGTAAAAGGCAGAAGATTAAAACACTGTGATTTAAAAAATCAGTTGAACAACACATAAAAGTTTCCATTTGGGGGGCTGGCCTGGTGGCACACTGCTACAGTGCGCCACTTGGGAGCGTGGCGGCGCTCCCACCGAGGGTTCGGATCCCACATACAGACCGGCCGCTCACTGGCTGAGCAAGGTGCGGGAGCAACACCGAGGGTTGCGATCCCGTTGCCGGTCCCGGTCCGGTACGGGTGCGACACTGAGGGTTGCTATCCGTTGCCGGTCACGAAAAAAGACAAAAAGGAAAAAAAAAAAGTTTCCATTTGGGCAAATAATTACTCTTCCATTAACTCTCTATGCTTCAGTATCCCCATTAATTTTCTATATCATGGTGACTTTTGGAAGACTTAATTGAGCTAATACATGTATGCATGTTTAATTCTTTGAGTGCTTTATACTCTCTATTAAGCACATATACATAGGCCCCATGCAACTTGGGAAAATCTGAAAATTGCCTGAATTATTTATGCTCAACATAAGAAAATGGATTAAACAGAATAACCAAAACTATTTAGGAAGAGTGAGTGAAGTTAACTTAATCACTCTGTGTTTCTTTGTCTTCCCCAGGTGGTTCTGAAGGCTGTTTATCTTGTGCTTAACCATGACATCAGCTCTCGAATCTGTGATGTGGCACTAAACATTGTGGAATGCTTGCTCCAACTTGGTGTGGTACCCTGTGTAGAAAAAAACAGAAAGAAGAGTGAAAACAAGGAAAACGAGACTCTGGAAAAGAGGCCAAGTGAGGGAACTTTCCAGTTCAAGGGAGTATCTGGAAGTTCCACCTGTGGATTCGGGGGCCCTTCAGTTAGTGGAGCTGGAGATGGTGGAGGAGAAGAAGGTGGAGGTGGAAATGGAGGAGGTGGAGGAGGTGATGGAGGAGGAGGCGGAGGAGGTGGAGGTGGCCCTTATGAGAAGAGTGATAAGAACCAAGAGAAGGTATGGCTGAACCTTCTGTGTCCTCATGCTGCCCCTAATTTCTTTCCAGTACTTGCTAGCCAGCAGTTTATTGACTAGCATAGCAACTAGTCACTAGAACAAGTAAGTGGTAAGTGCAGAAACCTCCTTATTAGGTGTTCTCAGCAGGCATTAGTAGAAATGGTTAGAGAAAGTTGTATTCTAAATCCAAATACTATTGCCCTCCAAGTGATGTTATAGCTAATTCTTTGTTCATACTATTTCTGCAGGAGAACACCTCAGATAAACTACATTGTCATAATTCTCCATCTGCCACCAGCAGTAGCCTCTTTCTCAAGACTTTCAAGGTCTGACCTAACAGAGTGGTGTCTTAGTCTGCTCAGGCTGCCATAACAAAATACCATATATTGAATGGCTTAAACAACAGATATTTATTGCTCACAGTTCTGGTGGCTGGGAAGTCCAAGGTCAAGGTACTAGCAGGGTCAGTTTCATTCTGAGGCTTCATCCCTTGGCAACACCATCTTGCTGTATGCTCACATGACCTCTTCTTTGTGCATGCACAGAGAGCAAGAGAGAGAAAGACAGTGCTCTCTTTTGTTAGGCTCTCAATGTCTCTTCTAATATGAATCTAATCCCGCTGGTCCAGGGCGCCACCAACATGACCTCATTTGACCCTAATTATTTCCCAAAGACCCATCTCCAAATACCATCAGATTGAGGGTTAGGGCTTCAATATACGAATTTTGAGAGGACACAAACAGTCCATAACAAGCAGTATAATTTTTCATCAATATAAAGTTCTTTGCCTTGATTTAAGTAACACATTTTTGGCAGCCAACTTCAACCACATTTAAGGAGAAAGCAAGGGAAGAATTTTCCTTGATTAGTTGGTTGATTTATTTGGTGTTGGTGTGTAGCGGGAACAATTTTCCTAGCCTCAGTCTTCATGTCTCAACGTGACTTTAGCCTTCCTATTATTGATTGTGTATATATATATTTTTAACCAGTAGTTCATTTTATTTACTGCTGAGAAGTATTACATTTTACATGTATCCCACCTCAATTTGTTAATGTATTTAATTCCCTTCGCCTTGGCAACACCTGGTTTATGATCTCTGCACTTAACATCAAGAATTGGTTTTCTTCTTTGACATCAGTTTCAAATAAGAGTTACAAGAGTTTAAAGTCACATAACTTAAATTAATTTCAATTTGGGGTTTTAGCTGGAAAATGCTGTTCAGAAATTAAAATCAACAAGAGATTTGAATTTCTAACAGGCAACAGTCTGCACATCATGTCAAGTGTTTACAAGTATAACATTACACTGCAGAGTTCAACCATCTACATACATATTATATAAACTGTATAATTGTCCATTTTTTTCTTGCAATCTATCAAATTTTTACATCTGAATAAGTGTTGCAGAGCTTCTTCCTTTTTCATAATTTCTTCTCCATCTCTTTCCAGTCCCACTTGATGCATTTAATGTGCATTTATCATCTGTGTTTCCTCATCTTATTGTGTACTCTTATCTTTCAAATTTTTGTTTGCTCTAGTTCAAATACTCCTCCCCTTTTGGGCTCTTGAACCTTTTCTTTAGAATTTTCTTCTCCTGCCTTAATTATATATTTTCCAATTCCAATAAAATCTTTTGGTAATTAAAGTTCCCAACTTCTTAGCTCCTCACACATCCCTGAGGACATTTACAAAATCCTCAGATCTAACCTTAGATGAAAATTATCAAAATAATGGTACAGATCACAACGAATTGTATCCAGGATCCTAAGATCCAAGGAATCGTTTAGTCAGTAGTTATGTATGAATTAGCAAAAAAATGTGAGTTATAAGGACCTAACTTACAAACACAGCAAATGGCAAGATTCTTACTGAATTTCCATTCTTTACCTATCAACCTGGACTTACCACTCAAAGAGATTATAGATGGTATTTATTACATCCACTATAATATTGAAGAGGAATTAGAAAGAGAAATAAAAGAAAATTGTGAAATATTGGTAAGCTTTTATAACTAAAGCTTAGATATTCCAACTAAATTGATGAAAATTTTGTTATGTACATTAAGGATCTCTGAGGTCCATTATTAATATTTTGTTTTAATTTTTTTAGTGCTAAAATTCCACTCAAGTGACATTTCATCTAATTTTTGAGAAAACATACACATCTCTTAGCTATTTAAAATCTAGATATTATTCTAGATACTATAGCTTGATACTGTAAATGTTATTTTGACCAAACTTATCACTTTTAATTAGTACAGGATTTTTTAAAGTCAGATTGTGTGGTCTCCAAAACAGCCACCAAGATACGTATGTTTTGTAGCTGTTCTCAAGATAATATTCTTTCTAGTACAAAGAATTTATAAAATAAAACTGATGGTAGGTCAAGTGCCCTGTGTTTGTGATTCACACAGGTCTGTTCTGCCCTGTACCCATCTGTTACTTTCAGTGAAATCCGAGGGTTTATTTAATTTTGCAACCTAGTAATACCAGAAGGCTTGGAATTCATTAAGACAGAAGATCTAATTTTCATTTCTATATTTGCCACTAGCTTGTACTGAGAGCTTGAAATGTTATTTAATATCTGTGATTTCTGGCTGTACTTTGATGCATCTTTCTGAGCATCTTTGAGAGCAACATAAGTCCCAAGGACATCTGAAGGTCTAAAGAAATGAAAACCTCATTAGATTTACAAAGAGCTTTCAGAGCTAGAGAATTTTTAAAGGAGCATATAGTAATTAAAAAATGTACGTAAACCAAGCTTTCAAGTAAGCCCCTGCTCAAGAGACTGTGCAGTCTATGTGCTACACAAGGACCATCTACTAAGGGGCTAATGAGGACTGAAATCCAGTCCAAGTTCTGCTCACCAAGCCATTAACCCTAGGGCTGCATCCACCCAGAGTGCTCAACGTTTTCTTTGTCCTCCCAGAGGGGCTTCTTTACTCAATTTACATAAAGATGCCCCAGAGGATAGCAGTGCCCCACACCTAGAAGTAATAATTAACATTAGTTATGCTGTTATTATGTGCCTTACATGTATGTGTTGACACTCGCAACTCTATGAGGTAGGCATTATTATGATTCTCATTTTGTGAGGCATGGAATGATTAAATAGCTTGCCTAAGTTTATACAGTCAGAAAATGTTGGAGCTAAGATTTGAATCCAAACTAAAATTTTTTTCTCAGTTGGCTAAAAAATATATATGTATACATACACACACACACACACACACATATATATATACACACATACTCACACATAAAATCATTTATTGATAAGTTCGACTCTTCCATTTGCAGCCTTCTGAGCTGTCTTAAGTATGATCCTCTGGGAACAGATTCAGACATGGAGATACGTGTGCAGGAGGTTTATTGGAGTGCTCTCTCAGCATCAATATCTGTAAGGTATAAAAGAAGCAGGATGCAGAAGAGGGAGAAGTTGAACTGCAATGTGGTTTCAAGAGAGGCTTCAGACAATCACACAGGGAGCTCTGAAGCTGAGATGTCTCTTCGAAGTAGTCCCCAGGTGATGCAAGGGAGCCCACCTTTATAAACTGCTCCACCCTTACGCCCTGACCAGTCATTGGAGGTAGACTGCCTCCACGAAGGGAGCACAATGTTGGCCAAGGCAGCTCTCCAGGTGCGAGCAAGCCAGGAGAGGCACTCAGCTGAGGGCTCTCATCCATCAACACTTCCAACAACTCAGAGAATGAATGCTTCAGTCCTCAGGGGAGAATGGGGTCCAGTGCCATATTCATACATGAGCTTACAGATAAGAAAAGAGGACCAATTGCATAACATTAGGGGAGGAGAGAATCTACTGCACCACATTAAGGCACATGATAATGTCTAGACAACCCCCTAGACTTTTCACACCCTACCCACATTTGAACACTCTTTCTATGTGTGGCCTCCAAATTTATATGTCAACCTGATCATATGACTATGGAAAAGTCCCTTATAATTTACAAAGCAATTCTCATCCATTATTTCATTTGCTATGCACAGTAAGTGCATATGCTATTCACGAAGTAGGAAAGGCAGCAATTAGGATCCTTAATTCACAGGTGAGAAAACTAAAACACAAAGAGGTCATATGCAACAAAGGACCAGGGGATGGAATCCCAGGTCAGTGGTGTACGAGTATGTGCTGACAGCAGAATGTAATTAGAAGGACTGAGGCAGGTTGTGGCTTCCCAAACAAAGATAATGGCTTTCCCACACTGGGTAATGCATCATTCCTTAACAACTGCTTCCTTATGCTTCTTAGAAAAAACTTCAAGAATGTTTGTTTCTTGGAAGCCATGTTCTCCACTAACAACATGAAGTAAATGGGGCAAAAGAGGGGATAAGAACAATTCTCATAATTTATCTCAGGAGGGCTTCCTATTTGGCCTCAAGGGGAGAATCAAGCCAAATGTTTATAAAGCTCTGTATATTCTCACTTTCCTTGTGCATGTGTTACAATGCAGAAAGTGTGCAATTAGAAAAATCCCTCAACAATGTCAGAAATTGCCATGAGATTTCAAAGTCCCAGACTTTGATCAGTTCCAGAAATTTAGCAGCAATCCTTGCCTGGTGATATTATCAGAAGCCTGGCTAATGAGAGTAGTTTCTAAGAAAACCTATTTGCCTTCATCACTGATAGTAGGTGGCTATTCTGATAGTCCATCAAGGGCATAAAAACATGTCTTCTAATAAAAAGGTCTACATTTGTGTTCTTCAGTACCAGGGAGTGTTTGAATGTAGAGGTTTTTTTAAATTTTTTTTTCTTTTAAATCACATACTAGATTTCCGAAAAGTAAGTTTTTTAAAGCCCTTTATATTTCTATTTCCCAAAGTAGAGGTACTTGCTGTAATAAACATAAACTTGATTTAATCATAAAATAGAATCTTAATAGCAAAAGGACCTCCGTGGCCAAGTAAACTCACTTCTCTTTCTTTCTCGTTCATGGAAACTAGGATGAAAGTACGCCTGTAAGCAACCATAGGCTTGCTCTAACCATGCTCATCAAAATAGTGAAATCTTTGGGATGTGCCTATGGTTGCGGAGAAGGACACCGAGGGCTCTCTGGAGATCGTCTGAGACACCAGGTATTCCGAGAGAATGTAAGAGAATTAAAGTAGATTCCATTTCCCTTCCCTCATCCCTCCATCCAGTTTAGGAATGAGTCCTTTGACAATGAGGGTCAGTGTTCCCTGAAAAATGTTCTGTTTTATAGAGGTAATTAATGTTGTCTTGGGATGGGGGAATTCCCAACAAAATATCTCAAGACGTGTAAAACTCAGGCTTGAGAAAGTTTAATTGGGAAAACACTTCTGCCTCATGCCTAGGGCAGACTAACTTCTAATTGGCAAAAGCTTATATAATTGGAATATGAAATTACAGTTTGAAAAAACTTTGCACAAATGAATATGTCTAGCAAGCTTCTGATAGCCTGAGACAAATGACTTTTCAATCATCTGCTTGGGTACTGTAAAAGCCATATTTCATATTAGAAAAAGGGGTCAAAATTTAGTACTTAGTTTGTTCTTACTTGGACGTGGAAAATGGCCCTTATTGGGACAAAAAGGACTGTAAAAGTAGCCAGTCATTTTCTGGCTGCTTTGAGAATGAACCTTGACTTCCAGATATTTGAGATCACGTCCCTTTGAACTGTGTGAAACTTGAAACTCTGCACTTGAGCTGGCCAAGCATAATTCTGCAATGGAACCTGGTCTTTTGTTCCAGCTCATTTACTCTGGCTTCTGCTGACTGCTACTTTTCCTTTTCTACTTGAGCAAAACCCACCTTCACAGCAAACCCAGGTCGGGACCGTTGCCTCATATGTATGTTCGAATTGAAATCATAAGAAAGTACTATCTTAAAAATAAGGGTTTAATGCAAATTTGAGTTAAGGAAACCCTTTGGCATATCTTGGCAGAGGTTCAGGATCATGTCAAAATCTAAAGCCAGCCCATTTGTCGTTGGTATTAGGTTTTGTCATGAAATGTTCACACAGTATTAGCATGCTGGGTTTCTTGCTTATTGTATGATCGATCGATGGATCTATCTAACTATCTATCTACTCTTCTCTCTCTCTGGTCTTAAAAATTTTGGCCAAGATCTAGATCTTGAGCCAAAAATCAAAAATCAAAATAATAAACAAGGCAATAGATGACTGGCTTTGCCCCTATTTTTGCATGTGAATGTGATCTTTTATCTTTGACTTTTAACTCTATCACAATATGAATAAATGCCTTCAAGATTAAATAAACTACATCACTCCTCATGCAGAAGGCCAATATCATGAAACAAAATGCTAAAACATAATAATAAGTGTTAACACTTAGTTGGAGGTATAAACAGGCTCTGACAACCAAGCCTGTCTTTCTGGATTTGCAGAAAGCAGGGCTAGTCGGATCAGAAGCTACTGAGAGGCTATTGTTACTGCGTAGTCCACCGTGCTTTCCTCTCCAAGAGAACTGAATGCTTCCTATGAGGGCATCTAGCCAGTTTTCTACCTGCCCTCTCAACTTGACTTATGGGGCAATTCTTCTATTATCTTGTAGCTCTGTTCAACACTCATTATAGAGATTGTGTTTACTTATCCATGTTCAGTAAGCACATTGTCCTAGAGATATAAATTTAAGAAATTTTCCCTGGGTAATGTCTACTTCAAGAAACTAGACATTTCCAGATTTCTGTAGCATTGGATTTTCAGATGTTGCTTAACTTTTAAGATGTTAAAAATATTTCTCACCTTTAGTAGGTCATGTCTTGTATACATTTTGTTTTTCCCTAGAGGATCCATCTCCTTTTTTTTTTCCTGATTTCATAAAATTATTTTTTTATTGAAACGTCATTGATAGTACATATCTGTGGGGTACAGCATTGAATATCAACACCTGTGTGCAATATGTGGTGCTCAATCAGGATAATTACTATATTTATCATTACATACATTACACAATGCAATCATTTTTTGTGGCCCTTTACCAATTTCTTGCTAATCCCCCTTCTCCTTTTCCTCCTCTGGTGTCCTGAGTTCTGTTCTCTCCTTTTGAAAGTTCAATGAATTATTGTGATTATTGTAGCTTTCTTTCTTTCTTCTTATATGTATTTATTATTTTACCTCCCACTTATGAGTAAGAACTTGCAGTATTTCTCTTTTTGTGCCTGGCTTATTTTGCTTAACAAATTTTCTTTAAGTTCATCCATGTTGCTGTGAACAGCAAAATTTTATTATTTTTCATGGCAGAGTAATATTCCATTGTACCACATTTTCCTCATCAGTCATCTGTCAGTGGAAATTTAGGCCTGTTCCAACTCTTAGCTATTGTAAATAGAGCTGTGATAAACATGTAAATGCAGGTATCCCTTCGACATGATGATTTCCAATCCTTTGGGTATACTCCCAGCAGTGAGATTGCTGGATTATATGGCAGTTCTAACTGTTGTTGTTTGAGGAAACTCCATACTGTTTTCCATAATGGCCGCACCAATTTACAGTCCCATGAACAGTGTAAGAGGTTCCCCTGTTCCCCTTTCTGCACATCCTTGCCACCATTTGTTATTCTGGCTTTTTGATACTGGCCAGTCTAATTGGCGTGACATGATATCTCAATGTGATTTTGATTTGCATTCCCCTGATGTTTAGTGATGTTGGGCATTTTTTTCTTATGTCTATTGGCCATTTGTATATCTTCCTTTGAGAAATGCCTATTCAGCTCCTTTGCCCATTTTTTAATCAGGTTATTTGGTTTTTACTGTAAGTTATTTGAGTTCCTTGCATATTCTGCATATTAATCTCTGTCAGATGCATAGTTTACAAATACTTTCTCCCATTCTGTAGGTTGTATATTTTCCAGAGTTTTGTTTGTTATTGATTTCTAGTTTAATCCATTGTTGCCTGTTTCTGATTTCTAGTTTTAACCATTGTGGTCTGAAAAGACACTTGAAATGATTTCAGTTTTCAAAAATTTGTTGTGACTTGATTTGTGACCTAATGTGTCTCTCCTGGATAATGTTCCATATACTGATGAGAAAAATGTATATTCTGTAGTTGTTGGATGAAATGTTCCACACATATCTGCCAGGTCCAATTGGTCTAAAGTATGGTTTAAGTTCTGTGTTTCTCTATTGATTTGTTGCCTAGATGATCTGTCCAATGCTGAGAGAGGGGTGTTCATGTCCCCAACTATTATCATATTGGGATCTATCTCTTCCTTTACTCTAATAGTATTGGCTTTATATATCTGGGTGCTCCAGTATTGGATGCATATATATATTTATGATTGTTATGTCTTCTTGCTGGATAAGATCCCTTTATCACTGTATAGTGGTCTTCTTTGTCTCTTTATATGCTTTTTTGTTTAAATTCTATTTTATCTGATATAAGAATAGTTACTCCTGCCTGTTTTTTTTTTTCCGTTTGCATGGAATATCTTTTTCCATCCCTTCACCATTAGTTTGTGTTTGTCCTTATAAGTGAGATGAATCTCTTGAAGACAATATGTAGTTGGGTCTAGTTTTGTAATACAATCTGTCAGTCTGTTTTTTGAGTGGGGAGTTTAATACATTTACATTTAGGGTTGCTATTGAAAAGTATTGGCTTACTCCTGGCATTTTATCAATTTTCATTTGGATGTTTTAAGTATCTTTTGTTCCTTTCTTTCCCTTTTATTGTTTGATGTTTGTTGGTTTTCCTGAGGTGCTAAAATTTAGTTTCTTTCTCTTTCTCATTTGCATTTTTGTTCTACCAGTGGGTTTTGTTCTTTCTTGTATATTTGTGATAGCAATTATTATTTTTTAGATTTCAGGCACAGGACTTCCTTGAGGATTTCTTGTAGGGCTGGTCATGTGGTGGTGAACTCCCACAGTTTTGTCTGGAAAATACAATATCTCTCCCTTATTTCTGAAGGATAGCCTTGCTGGGTATAGTATTCTTGGCCACTATTTTTTTCTTTTAGTATTTTCAATATATTATTCCATTTTCTTCTGGACTGCAAAGTTTCTGTTGAAAAGTCTGCTGTTAGTCTGATAGGGTCTCCCTTATAGGTGACTTGATGATTTTCTCTTGCTGCTGTTAGGATTCTCTCTTTGTCTTTGAGTTCTACGAGTTTGACTATGTGTCTTTGAGAGGATTTTTTTGGATTGAATCTGTTTGGGAATCTTTGATTCTTCTGGATCTTCCCTTTACCTGGGAAGTATTCCATTATTATTTCATTGACTAGGTTTTCAATGCCTTTTTCTTTCTCCTCCCCTTCTGGAACACTAATAATTCAGATGTTTGTGTGCTTGAGGCTGTCTGCTAGCTCTCTTAGATTTTCTTCATTTTAAAAAAATTCCTGTTTTCCTTTTTCTTGTCCACCTGAGTTATTTCTAAAAGACCATTTTTGAGATTAGAATTCTTTCTTCTGCTTGCTCTAACCTGCTGCTTAAGCTTTAGGTTGTGATTTTTATTTCATTGAATGAATCTTTCAGTTCCAGAAGTTCTGCTACATTCTTTTTATTTATTTAGTGGTCATGAACATTCATGAGATACAAAGCTGCTTGTCACCCCTTGTGCCCATGATGTGAGGACCAGATTCATACTGGCAGCATACCCCTTACCACAAATTACATTTGTACTTCGTGTCCTCCACCCACTTATCCTCAACCTCCCTTCCCTCCCCCCTCCCCCCCCACTCGACTTTGTAGTCCAAGGAATGTTCTCTCCCTCTGCAAATCCAATGCACCACTGTGGTCTTTCTTTCCTTCCTTATTACTCTCTTAATACCCACTTATGAGTGAGTGCATGTGGTATTTATCTCTCTGTGCATTGCTTATTTCTCTCAACATAAGTTTCCCCAGGCTCATCCATGTTGTTGCAAATGGGATAATTTCATTCTTTTTGTGGCAGAGTAGTATTCCATGGTATATATATACCACAGTTTCCTTATCCAGTCATCCATTGATGGACATTTAGGTTGGTTCCATGTCTTGGCTATTGTAAACAAAGCTGCAATGAACATGGGAATACAGGTATCCCTTTGATGTATTGATCCCTTTGTAAATTTCCTCCTTCACATCTTGGGTATTTTTTTCTCATTTCATTGTGTTATCTAACTTAGTCTTCTCAGATCTCACCAAGTTTCCTTAAGATTGTTGCTCAGAATTCCTTTTCAGTCATTTCAAGGTTTTCTTGCTCTGTAGGGTCTGGTACTTGAGAATTACTGAATTCCATTGGTGGTGTCATATTTTTTCTTCCTTTCTTTTTGTATTTCTAGTATCTCTACCTCAATGTCTCATGATCTGGTAGAACAGTTGCTCCTTCTATTACTCTGGATTGGGCTTTGAGGACAGAGACTTCCTCCTCTTTTCCTGGGCTCCACTGGTAACTCTCCTTGTGTTGGTGCAGTTGGGTGTGTGGCAGGATGCCTGCACAGTGGCCATGGATACTACTGCAATGTTGAGGCACACTTGCAGCAGCAGTGGCTGTGGTGGGCCACTTGTGTGGAAGCAGTGTTTGCAGCATGCTCCTGCCCTCTGCTGGGTGGGGGGCTGCCTGTGACTGCTGACTAGGTTCCTGGGCATGCTCTTACCTTCTGTTGGGCAGGTGAGGCTGCCTGCAACTCTCTCTATATATATTTTTAGAAGCAGAAGGCTTCTGTAATGATATTCATGAAAATGACAGCAGTTCTATCATGGCATTCCTCAGTGCTTCTTAATCAGTAGCTGGTGGTCCCCAATTAGTAAATGAATTCACTCTTTAGCCATTTTACATCTCTTGAAGAAGTTTAGGATGTTCTTTCAGAATATTTGAGGTTTTATTCTTGGTTAAACTTCCCATTGAACTAATACAGACCACGCAGACATTCCAAAAGCCTTTAAGTAGTAGATTTATAACTGTGCTTTTCTGGTGTATTTTATAGAGAACACAGAGAAATTTGTACTTCAGGCTTTCCAACCTAGGATTTTAAAAGGCTTTGTAAATATTATAATGAAGATCTTCAAAAATTCTTTATGAAATAATAATTAAATACTCCTTCATGTGGAACATATTTTACCTAAGTGCTTTGCAAACTTTATTTTATGGCAAGCAGCATTTATTTCAAAAGAACAAAAAAATGAATCTTCTCAAGATCTGGCAACTAGTAAAATTAGTAAAAAATACCTAATTTCAAATCTAGGACATAGTAAAGGAAGAATGAAAAAGATATCAATCCATCTGACTTTGTGATGCAGATGGAGAGCTTATAGCAATGTCATGCCCACCTATTGCTATTGCTAATTCCAAGTTTCAGCCTTCTTTTATTATTATTTTTTTCCTTTCAAAATTTTCAAGAATCTTTCCTTGGGCTTTGATTTGTCAAAATGTTGATGTAACAAATATTCTTCTTGGTCGTTATTAAGGGCCCACCAATAAGATCTCCATGCTCAGGGATTGCCTTCCCTAATCTGGCATTCATGTATATGCCTAGTTGTCAAAGTTCACCATCCTCAATTAAGGTGGCACTCACCCACCCACTTCTCCTTTCCTGATCCTTAGCCCTTTTCTCTCAACCCAGAGACTTCTGTCATTTCCTAATTTCATTCCATTGTTATGGACTTTCCTGCATCTCTTTTATTCAGATTGTAGTCTTCTTCAAGATACCAACTAATCTCTATTATCAGTCATCTGAAATCCTTTTTGGGAGTAGGTGGTATCTAAATACATTTCCCCAAAACCATGAGACTATTATATTATAGGAGAAATAGCTACATATTAAGAGGCAAAACCCTGACTTCCAGTTTTGGCTCTACTGTGAAATGTGTTGTCAACTTGGACAAGTCCTTGACTTCTTTGAGCCTCAATTTCCTCAACAGTAAAATAGCGATACTCACCAAATCACAGAGATGATGTAAAAGTCAAATGTTACATACAAGTAACACATTTTAAACTGTGAAGCACCAGGCAAATGTGATTTTTCTCTCAAAGGTAGGAAAAGGCTAGAAGGCCCCCTAATGCTTCCAGGTAACAGTAGAGCATTCTGTCTGTTGCCTTCTGTAGCCAATGACTGTGACCTCATTGGTTATGATGGTGTGAATTATTCCCTTTCCCCTTGCCTGATGGCCAAATTATTTGCTGGGCCATAGGAAATATAATTATGAGTAGCAGGGCCTAGTCAATGGTCACTTGTTTTTCATATACACGAGGCCAACTTCTCTTTAAATACATACTTACACTTTCAACTGCAGACACATAAATAAACATCTAGACTTCACTTTGTTTTATGCCTCTTATACGTTCCAAGGATCTTTCCCTCCTGGCCACATAAGAGGACACTGAATACCAGCTGCCTACATCCTTCTCACTCCCTCCATTAAATCTGTTTCATTTCAGAGTGGCTGAGCAGAGTGGCATGCTTCCTCCTAGTGCACAAAGCCTAGTGCACAAAGTGAATTGCCAATTCTATCACTTTCCTAAATTGTATACTTTGAGTTTATTCATCAAGATCTTAAAATTTTGATCTTGGTGAAAACATTGAACTCCTTCTTTGGGTTTTTCCAAAGGAGCAGCTCTTCCCAGTGTTTACTCCCTCTGGGTGCTCAGTCTGCCCTGCCTTCTTGCTCAGACAAGAGGGGCTAGCAGGGCTGGCTGGCACTGGCCAGTGGGGGTGGATGGAAGCCTTTGCTTTCCAAAGACTTCTGTCTCTGACTAAAAATATCCATAGCTTAAGCTGGTACTTGTGACTTTTTCACTTTTCTTCCTTCATTGCAGGCCCAGAACTGCCTCACTAAGTTATACAAGCTAGATAAGATGCAGTTCCGACAAACCATGAGGGACTATGTGAACAAGGACTCTCTCAATAACGTAGTGGACTTCTTGCATGCTTTGCTAGGATTTTGTATGGAGCCGATCACTGACAGTAAGTAAAGTTGCACCTGAGTTCTAGGAGAAATCACTGCAAGGCAAAGCAGGTAGTATTTCAGGGGCACATTAAATTTATGGGGAATTTAGAGAGAAATGTGTATATGTGTGTGTGCATGCACGCATGTGCATAACTGTGAGTGTATGTAGTAAAGTATAAACAAAAAAAGCTTGCACATCATCTCTGATGACACCTTTTGGAGGCTTTCTAAGGACAACTTACCTCAGTGCGTGAGAATCTGCTGAAGCAGTGGCATGCTCACCTTAGCCCTCAATCTTCACAATGCCACTCTGGGAACTCTTCTTCTTTGTATGACTTTCTGTCGTATGACAACTGAGGCAGTGATCAGGAGATGGAGCAATGTACAGATGGTCCCCAACTTATGATGGCCTGACTTATGATGTTTCAACTTTACAATGGTATGGAAGCAATAGGCATTTGGTAGAAACTCCACTTCTCTCGCGATGCTGGGCAGCAGGAGCAAGCAGCAGCTCCCAGTTAGTCACAAATTTTCTACTTAATGATATTTTCAATTTACAATGGGTTTACCTCGACATAAACCCCATTGTAAGTCAAGGAGCGAGCATCTGTATCCATTCATTCAACAAATATGAAATGAGTACCTATTATTTGCAAGGCACAGTGCTGGGCAATTTTTTCACAAAATAAATCAGGAAAGAAAAAAATACCAACATGTGAGTATAGTAAACATAGTAGTAACACAATTTTGACATACATATATACATTTATACTAAATTTAAAAACAGGAAAATGGATCCATAGATAGACCCACAAACTGTTTTACAGCTTTATTGCATTAAACTCCCGTGTAGAGACTAAAGTTACAGGAAGAGACCAGTAAATGAAAGTTGCATCATAATAAACTGAACACCTGCTGTAGCATTTGATGCAAATACTGTAATTAAATGAAGGTGATGCATGAAGCCTGAATTGAGTAAAATACACACAATTAGTATAGGCTTTTATTGTTTATATGATACGTGTGATGGTACAGTAGTTGATTCATAATGAAGATATATTTTTTGTATGTAGAAGCAGTTTTCCTGGTTGTATCCCAGGCTTTATTGTTTGGTTGCCACATTAAAAGAAAATACTGCTCCTCTATAGAACCTCTGGAATAATCTATGTTATCAGAGGTGTTTTAAGACAAGCATATTATAAATTTTTTTTGAAAAAATAGAGAGGGTTGTAGTTGAGACACTGCAAGAGAAATTCTTGAATACAAACTATTTCTTTCTTTTTTAAAGCTGAGATAGAAATTATAAGCATAGACTAAATATTTCTTTCAGTAATGTAAAATCTAGAGATAATTCCTTGTCAGTGGTCACAGACAGTGAGAATGGATAATAAAGTATATTACTATAGAGTGATAAATTCCTCCTGGGATTCTTGAGATGTGGAAATGGATCACAGTGAATTGGCCAGACAGACACAGGCTCCTATTTGATTAACCTTGGAGCAGCACATGCCCTTCCCCACAGTCTGTAGGTGGCTCACAAGCCATGAGGAATCTTCTGGCAAGGTCACAGAATACCTGTGTGACCCTTACAGAAGATCCATGGTTATTTGAAAAATTGGCCTAAAATGCCATGGAGGTTGATGGCCTCAGTTCACTGTCATTTCATGTATATGAGTTAGAAGGAGGTGGATCTGAGGGTGGTTCTTAGGTTTTTCCCTCTCCATATGCCCAAGAAGCTTCTGGAAGGACTCTATAGTTCCTAGTAGGACTCAGCTTTTTCCAGTGCCTGCATGAGTTTCCCTGCTGGGCTCCTCCTTGCCCCTTTCTTCTCCCTGCCCAGCTTACCTGGTTGGTCCCACCTCATTCCACTGTTGACAGACTGAACAATTTCTACTGAAAAGCCAGCATTCTTCAGCATCAAATAGGTTGAGTCTAATCAATTCTTTCTCCATTGAGGGCCCATTTAGTAGGTCATTTTTTTTTAAGCGATCACCTATTTATAAACTACTCTAGGGCTAAAAGTCTTTCTTAAAGTCAAAAGTTGAGTCCTTTTGCTACGATTATCAATCCAAACATTCACAAATGCAGCTGGATATGTCATAGTGAAGACTTCGAAGGAGACTATGATTCATTTATTTCCAAGTCTGCATAGAGATTATTAAACCAGGGGCATCTTTAATCATCTGTTTCTTTAGTTTGTGTAGCCCTTCATTAATTTCTGGGTACCAGGTACTTCTTTACTCCTTTTGATTGTGCAGCTTAATCGAAATACTGCCTTTAATTTGTGCCTTTTCATTCCAGACAAGGCTGGGTTTGGAAACAACTTCACCACGGTGGACAACAAATCCACAGCCCAAAATGTGGAAGGCGTTATTGTCAGTGCCATGTTTAAGTCCCTCATCACACGCTGTGCTTCGACCACACATGAACTGCACAGCCCTGAGAATCTGGTGAGGAGTTCTCTTCTTCTCGCAGAAGTTCTCAATCTCTCCTCTGAGAAAATTTCTCATGTCATGGCCATGAAGAAGAGAAGTTGAAGCTTAAAAGTATACTACTTAAAATACTGATTTTCCCCAGTGTCACCAGTAACTCACAATGGAGCCTTCACAACACTTTTCTCCTCCTTGTTACTCATTATCCTCTCTGCAAATTGACTTATCTTCCTCTTCCATCTCAAAGGTTATGTAGTGTTTGGTGAAATAGTTGCAAAGTATTTCAAGCCTATCAGAAAGAGTGTGATAGAGCATAGTTTCTTGGCTCATGGATTATTAAAGAATATGATTGCAGACATGATTTGAAACCACATTTCCTTTAAAAATTAATGCTAGTATTCTGCTGAAAATGGTTTTGTTTTCTTTTATTGAACACTGTAATCTTTCAGCTACCCTTCATAAAAGACAGTGTTAATTAAATCACTGAAGCCACAAGTTGTGAGTGGAAGAACCAGGCTATAAAATGTTACTGCTTAATTGCTACCAAGGAGATTGTGGTTTGGGATACTAAAATGTAGATTCAGGCTGACAAATCTGACATGAATAGTTGAATTCAAGTCTCTTTGGGAAGGAAAGGAGCATTTCTGTATCCTCCTAATCTGTTAAATATGACTCTTATGCAGAAATCAGCCTATAAGACACTATCTGCTCATCTATCTAAATAAAAAAAATATTTTAAGCTATTCTAACTATTGAAGCTATTCACTTAAGATAAACAGAATAAAACTCCAAACCAAAGGGATTTAACTTTACTAACAGTCAAAGCCAATCTAGCAAGGTTCTTAGAGTTTGAGCATAACACAGGCACTATCCATGTTTTCAATTTGGTCATGGCAAGAAGTAACTTACCAAGATGATTATAATATATATGAGTGTTTATAAATCTTGCTCCTCAAACTCATGTATAGAACAAATATTGGATTTCTTAATTTTCTTTAAATCATCTTAAGTTTGACTTTGAACCCCCATCCCACCAGAATGGCTGGAAGTCTAACTTCAGTCATTCTTGGGTTCTGCCACTTCACAGCTTGGTGTAAAGATCCCCAGTCTTAGGTAGCACCTAGGCCTGGGGAAGCACCACAGGTCTCGATCATTAGTCTACACCTATTATTTCATGTAGTGCTTTGTGCTGTGTGCTTAGGGTTGCACAGTCTCTGGTGAGTTTGGACTCCTTATTCTTTGGGGTCTTGCCCCTTCCATGAAAGAGCTACTGAAGAGTAGGGTGAAGGGCATGGGACCCTACTGCCCACAGGCCCTAAAGGGTGCTCTCTTTGTGTTTTCCCCAGGGCCCTTTATTTTTCTTTCCTAACTGTCATAGGCATAATTATCCCAGTGGTCTTAGGTTTTGAAAACCAAAGCTGTCAAGGTAAGTGTTCTTTAAGTTCTGCATTCTGCTTTGCCATGAACCTTTTGTAAGGCAAAGAAAACAGTTAGCACCTTCTTAAAGAGGGAACAGAGAGGGAAAAATACTGGGTGCAAAGTTTTATATCTCAAAAAAGTACCGCATATATTTTTAAATGTTGATTTACCACTGTATTGTTCTCAATAGCCATACATCATCTTAAGTTCATAGTCAAGTTCATGTTTAAATGGGCTCCAACATATGTCTAAGTTGCTAAATCTCTCCAGCAAAATGCATCATAATTTAAATAATCAGACTTTGTTAGAAGTGTTTAGCAGACTTAACTTACTTTGTCACAATAATGCAAAAAATTTGGAGAAGCTGAACAGGGAGTCAAATCTCAGTCTAAATAAAATTCTGACTGCCTTCTTTTTACAGGAATTTCTTCAGAAGTCACAATTAAGAGAGAAAATTAAAGTTTGGGAATCCAATGTTTAAAAACATAAATTGATGTCTTTCTAATGATACAGCCAACTTTCTGAATATGAAGCGTGGTAACCATTCTTTTTATACTGCAGATGATTGGCAAGGTCCTTGGTAATGTTCTTCTACAGGAGCATTGCAGAGGGAGTGCACTGTCGGTTCCATGAGTAGTAAATTACCTTCCCTTTATGATTCCAATGCTCATCTAAGCCTAACAAATTACCTTCTTCCTCTCTTTCTGTGAAAACTATTTAATCACACAGCTATCTTTCTTCCCCCAAACTTCCTTCCTGCCTCCAAACAGGGGCTGTATTGTGACATCCGTCAGCTGGTCCAGTTTATCAAAGAGGCTCATGGGAACGTCTTCCGGAGGGTGGCCCTCAGTGCTTTGCTTGACAGTGCCGAGAAGTTAGCACCAGGGAAAAAGGTGGAGGAGAATGAACAGGAATCTAAGCCTGTAGGCAGTAAAAGGTTGGAAGCTTGAGCTCTCTGAATATTAGAGTTTGCCTTATATTAATAGACTATAACCGGTTGTACTGTCCGTGTGGTTCCTCGCATGGTGTAACTTCAGTGAAAGGATGGTAAATCTGTCTTGTATAAATGGTATCAGTGGTGTGATCCAGCGCAGCTTAGAAAGAGAATGAATTTGCTGTCAAATAAATGCCACCTTAGTATGAATCAGAGCTCAGTTGTTCCTGAACTTTCATAGGCTTGAACATCATTTGATAGCTCTTAATTATATGGCAAAATGTTATCTGTGTTTTAGTCTCCTGTATACATAACATTTTTGTCCAGAAAGGAAAAGCAATTACTGATACCGTATTTATTCTGTTCAGTAAATGATCTTGAGGATATAGCAAAAGACAAATTGCTGAGCAGTACCTTGTCATTTTTCCTTCTAGTACACATACATTTATTTTATGCCAATTCTATATTCAATGCCACTTACAAACATTAAAAGAAACTCCTAAACTTAAAATTCTGTTTGCAGTTAATGACTGTTTACAATAATGGTGGTATTGTTAAGCAATAGGGCAGCTGGGTCATGAGTCAAATGGTAGGACATAAATTTCATACAACTTAGACTCGTGATGATGCAAGGTTTCCAAGCCATATAGGCTGTCTATGACAGAGTGTTTTACTTTGTTAAGTATGTGAAGTACAGAGAGATGTTGTCCTGCTCTGTTGTGGTTGACGGAATGCACCATTTGCATAGGTCAGAGGCGGGAAGTGTTGTGGATAAAGGCCAGGCGCCCTCTGCACCTGAGGAATGTCGCAGCTTCATGTCCGGCCGCCCCTCACAGACTCCGGAGCAGTAAGTAGTGCTGGTTTTGTCTGTAATGCAGAGGACTAAGCACTGCACACTGGAGAAAGTTCTATTTTCCAAGCTGCTTTTTTTTAGCTTGTTTTCTTGTCTTTCATTTCCTTTGAAATTTGCCTTGCTTTGCCCTTTACATTTCATTCCTGATGCTACTAATCTTTCCAGGACTAAATTGCAAATGATCGTCCTGTGCTCACAGGAAGCCTCCCTAACTACATTTTCCACTGCCAGTCTCTTCCCCATTTCTACCTTTATGCACATTCCTGCAGATAAATCTTAATAGATAGTATATATACCAGGTGGGATAGGGGTTCCATTCAGTTTTTTGCTTGAAATCACTTACAAATATTTTTGTTAAAATGTATGAATGGCTGTCAATGTACTCAATGAAGGTTTTCTGAAAAGAAGTAATGTAAACTTCTCTAGTGCTCAGCTTAAGCTGAAACATAGACTCTGTCACACCTTAGTCTTCTCCTGAGATCCATTTCACTGTACTCTGACATCATCAGTTTATCTCCATTTTTTATAATGGCAAAATCAAAATCATCTTTAAATTAGTGTCTCCAGAAAATGTAAGGGTTACTGTAGACACTAAATACAGAGTCTAGTTCTATGCAAGGCTCATTTGTATCTTTTCTTGAGAACTACTTACTCATAAATGGAGTGATCAACATTTAAAACATGTACATCATTTTAGGTACACCATTCTGCTTCCCAAAACCCTTTATTCTGCATAATATTTTAAGTGTCATGGTGTCCTTTCTCTATAGTCAGGTAAACCAAAGTTGAGAAGCAAATAACCATCAGACAGGACTTTGGTAATCCATAACAAATAAGCAAAATCTTCAGAGAACAAAAGCACACATAGTACTTGCAGCACTTAAAAATAATCTTAGCTACGCCCCTTAAATGGGTAGACAAAGGTAAGGACAAAGTAGATCAATTCCCTGGGTCCAGGGACCATGTGAGTTTTTGCTTACTGTTATAGCCCAATGTATTAGTTTGTTTCTATTGCTTATGAAAGAAATACATGAAACTGGATAATTTATAAAGAAACAACATTTGTTGCTTACAGTTTGAGAGTCTGGAAAGTCCAAACTCCAGGGAACACATCTGGTGAGGGCCTTGGTGTTGGTGGCTTTACAGCAATGCAGGGTCTCACATAGTGAATATGGCAGAAGCAGAGAGAGAGAGAGAACTTCTCACACACTCTCCTTTTAAAGCCATCAAAACAATGCCCATGACCATCATTACACCATCAATGGATTAATCCATTCTGGACTGGGGCATAGTTCTCACAATCTAATCTTTTTGAGACCCTGACTCTCAGTTACTATAATAGGATTTCACACCCTCTTAACACTGTCACAGTGGGGGTTGAACTTCAATAAGTCTAGAGGACATCCAATCCCCAGCACCCCAGTCCCAAGATGGGGTTTGGTCAATAGCAGGCACTTTATATGTATATTCATGAATGAATGAATGAATCACTCAATCAATCAATCAATGAAAGGGTATAATTGTCAGATTATTATTAAGCTTTTGTTTTCTTTAACTTCATTTCTTAAAATTAAGTTTTAGTTTTTCCTTTAAGGAAGGCTTTAAGGACATGGTAAAAATCCAAACATAAACTCTAAGGAAAAAATAACATAACGTGAAAGACAAATTTCTGTGTCTGAATAGTCACAAGACTAGTTAGAAGGCTTCATAAACAGAAAGTCTGCCCCCCAAAAGAGAGAATATTCTTTATTCCAAATTATACCAGTAACTACTGAGCTAATCTGATCAATGAGAATAATCTAATAAGTAAATTGGATTTTAAAAATAAAACCATCTATCTTCATAGGTGATTAAGTTTTCTAGATTTCAAAATACTCTCTGTTCAGTGTTCTGTAAACACCACCTAATTTCTCAGCATTTAGCACTTGTTTGTTCTTTCTCCTTGAATGAAGATACATGTTTTAATATTCCTCCACATAAGTATTTCCACTTATACTTATAATATGTGAAATGTGGAAATTTTCCATGATCCAAGTGGGCCCAAGAGATGAGCATGACCAATGTCCTCTGTTCAGCACTGGAGGAAAGTGGGTGGTTACTTTGGATGATCTTGGCTCCTCTTCTACCTTCTCTTTTCCTTTCTTTCCCCCCTTTCTTCCCTTGTCTTTTCTTCTTTCTCCTTAAATAGTAATCACATTAACTGAGTAGTATTAAAAGCAGTTTTATTTGCTCATTTCTCAGAAACCCATTATTGATACACACCCATTAGACAAAGCTGATGTAGCATCTTATTAAGAAAGCTGATGAATTATAGACTCCCTGAATGTCTCTCCACTCAGGCCACATGCTCACACCCTCATCACTGTGTCACACACGTCCTTCAAAGGTGAGAAACGCTTCCTACACTGTGATCATTTGATAAAAAATAACTGAGAAGTCAAACTCTAGAAAACTCATTTAAATTCATGCCGTATTTGATAAACAGAATGTCCTAGTTTAAAATAAGAATTAAGAAGTATTTAATACTCTGATGAGATTTTGAGAGATAAAATCTGGATACCCATATAAACACCTCCAGAAAATGATCGCTTTACACTGTACTGTCAAATTTGAGATTGATTTAGGATTCAGCCCCAAAGCTTGTAAGCAAATCATTACCTAAAACCCTATAAATACATTTCAGCACATGGTACTAGAATATTTTCCATAACTTTTTCTTTCTAAATTACTAAAATAATGCATGTTGCTCAAGCTGAAAATGTGGAAAACATAGAAAAACATAAAGGTAAAGTAGTTTAAAAATTGAAATACCAGCAACTAGAGATAACCTCTGTAAACTTTTGGTGTATTATGTTGACTACATTTCTGAACATCTGTACATACAAACCCATACACAAACACATACTTACATGCGAACTATTCTGGCATTATCCTGTTTAAACTATTTAATCACTACCTTTTAGCTTTGCAATACATTATGAACATTTCCCATATCAATAGTCTTCCAAAATAAGATTTTAACGACTACAGAGTATGTCATCATATGGAAGTCCCATAATTTATTCAATTACTTCCCTAGAGTTGAACATTTATATTGTTTTCACTTTTTCTATGTTGACCAGTAATACCACAGTAAGTCTTTGACCTTCTTGTATCTGTGTATTAGTATACTTTTCCCATTATTTCCTTGAGATTATTTCCTGAAAATTGAATCTCTCTGTCAGGGGTGTTGATATAGGATTTGGATAATACATTACCAAGTTACCTTCCAGAAAGGTTGAATCATTCTATCTCATCACTGGCAGGATGATAGTAACCATTGCTTTCTCTTTTTTCTCCACAATACTTGCCAACTTAGTAAGTGAAAATAGATATATCTCATTTCAGATGGTTTTTCTTTATTCTTAGAGAGATTAAACTCCGTATAACACTGGCTACTTGCCTTTTCCCTCTTGCGGAATACCCTAGTCAAAAATCCGCTTACAGGTGTTTCTATTTGACCTATTGAGTTGACTTATTTTTTACTTGTAAAGCCTACATAAGTTTCTTTGACCTAATGTTTGTAGAATGATGCATTCCCTGGGTAAGATGATCAAATTTCATTTATTTATTTATTCATTCCTTCATTTAGATACTTTTTTGTGTGTATCAAGTATGATACTATACTGGGGTGAGGGGAACAGCAATTACTACACAAGCCCCAGGGAGCTTTAAACAAAAGTTAGACGTTTACTGACACTTTAAGTGCTTCTGCTATTATGACTCAGTCCTGCAAGTGAATACATGAAGTCCTGCAAGTGAATACATGAAATAATATTTAGTCTTTTTATTAAACTTGGAAAAAATGGCTACCTCAATTTGATAGCTGAGATACGACTGTTTTCCACATTAGTCTCCCTCCTCCCACTCCCACACCCACTCTTCCCAAATCCCAGCCCATCAAAGACCATTCTGCATGATTTGCCTTAATACCATTCATTAGCAGCGGGCTGAAAAAAATTTAGGAGAATATCGCACACATTGTCAGACATTTAACCATATCCTCTGCTTGCTTACAGCGACGAACAAATGCCGGGGGGCAATCTTGGGCGGAAAGATTTCTGGCGCAAGATGTTCAAATCCCAGAGTGCAGCAAGTGACACAAGCAGCCAGTCTGAGCAGGACACTTCGGAATGTACCACTGCCCACTCAGGGACCACCTCCGACCGGCGCGCCCGCTCACGGTCTCGCAGAATTTCCCTCCGGAAGAAGCTTAAACTCCCCATAGGTAAAAGTATGTCTGTATTTATTTAGGATTTCTCTTATTACCTGCCATGTCCTCAAATCAACTCGCAATCAAAACAGAGCAATGCATGGTAGGGTATAGAAAAGGAAAGCTTTCAAGTCACTCAGCCTAGGCTTAGTGCTTACTGCATTCATTCATTCATTCATTCACTCATTTTTTTCCCACACGTATTTATCAAACCCCTACAATATGCCTCTACTGTGTGCAAATACTATACTAGGTATCAAGGATTAGATAGTGAGCAAAAACACATGGCCCCCTGACTTTGCTAAACTTGCAATCTAATGGGAGCCAAAGTCATTAAAGCAGATAATCACACAACTAAGCATCATTGCCAACTATGAATTTTATGAAGGAAATATACATAGTTCTATGAAAGCGTGCAACAAGGAGACCTGACTTCAAAGGGAAGAGGGGGCAGGAATCAGGGAAGTCTTCCTAAAGTCAGTGAAATTAAGATCAACAGGATACTCAGGAGAAGGAGAGAATCACAGGTGGTAGTACGTACAACGGTATTTGGGTGGAGGGAATTGGATGAACTGAAACAAGAGGAAGTGTCTGCATGACTATGGTGGAATGACAGGGGCCAGAGCATGTAAAGTCTCGCAGGTCAGGCTGGTTCTTCATCCCAGAGCCTGAGACAGCCAAGGTGGGATGTTGGACAGGAGAGTAACACAGGCAGGTAAACTTTTTCCAAAAGATCACTGCATGAAATTCATGTTGGAGGGAGCATGAGTAGACAAGGGAGACCAGATGGAAAGCTACCTAGTAGTCCAGGTATAAGTAAATGGAAGCTTGGACTGCATGGTGACCACATAGACAGAGAGAAGTGGGCAGATTTGAGAGATATTTTGGAAGTAAAATCAACAGGCTTTAATAGGAGATATGAAAGTTACCAAGATTAATAGGGTGCATTGTGGTTTCATTCATTGAAGAGATCTGGGTTCTTTTAGTCCTGGTCTTACTTGTTCGTGTAATTTTATAGTCCAGCTCTGAACATTTTGACTCAAAGCATGTACATTGAAAACAATTTGTTTTCACTTCTATTTATATAAAGCCATGTAACTTTCATTGCTTTTTGGACACATGCTGGCATTTCTGTTTAATCCATTTGGGAGAAAATGCTAATTGGTCTAATTTCTAAAAAATTACTGAATAGGAAACTGGCTGAAACGATCCTCCCTCTCGGGCCTAGCAGATGGCGTGGAGGACCTCCTGGACATCAGCTCTGTGGACCGCCTGTCTTTCATTAGGCAAAGCTCCAAGGTAAACAGAACATTACTTATGTAAGTGAACGTTGGAGTCACTGATAGAAAAATGTCAGGGCTGAGAAATGCTAAACACCTGGAGGGGCCAAATAAGGAAGGGTTGAAGAACCCCTCAAGTTTAACAAATTTTGGAAATTTAAATGAGCAATGGAAATTAAAATGTTTAAGCAGTAGGCTATCCTAAGAAGAAAAAAAGGAAAAGTGTGGCAAAAAATTATATAAACTGCAGGTATAGATATGTATATAGGCATTACTTCCCAGCTACTTTTAATTTTTAACACACATGAAATTACTGACATCTCAAGCTCCTATCTGAAGATCCAGTAATTCTATAATGATTCCTTTTACATGTTAACCCCCCCCACACACACACACACAACGCATTCATCCATTTTTCTACTTTTGGCACCATCTGAACCTTTTCCTTATTGAAAAGGATAAAGAAACTCAGGATGACTTTTTCCACTAAATGCTTCTTCATAATACTGTTAAGCACTGTAGCAGCATGTGATTTGGAAAGGTAATGGTTCTCAGCGAACACTATTTCCTATATGAATCATGGATGATTCATGATTTGGTCACTTGTACACCTAATTTTCAGTGAATAATAAGAGTTATGTTTTTTATATACAAATTACTTGCTTACATTCTTTTGCTTTTGAGTCTCACTAAAACCAGTTTTCTTCTACCTAGTCTGTTTTAAAAGTAATATTTTGAAAAATTAGAAAAAATTCTAATTTTTCATTAATTACAAATAATACTGTAAAAGTTATTATAATACAGAAACATTTTATCACATAACTGATAAAAGAGAATTTATTTTAAAAATAAAATATTTGCAAATAAATTAATTAATATAAATAAAGTAATATTTTGAAATGATAAAAATAATACAGAAAGATTACAGAATATTTAGAAGATGTATTTATAATTTCTGCCTCAATTTTTTGCTAAAGAAAACTCGTCAAGTATTTGAGAGTCTGTGTGGCCCATAGTTTTCATCGTGTGCTGAAAATTTTGAGTACTGTTGGCCTAAAAGCAAGAACAAGGATGCATTTTAATTCTTAGAAAGAGAAACATGTTATTGCATTATTATAGTGCATTCGATAAATTAATTTATACTGGTTCTTTCACAGAAACTTGAGATATTCTATTTGGCTGTCTTTCAGTTTGGTCTGATTCTCAATCGTGGTATTGTTTGCATAGGATGAACACAGCTGGCTGTTTATGAATTTGAGTTAGGACTTTATCAGACTTAAACTCTAAGAATATCTCAGTTGTTCACTAAATTGTTTTCATAGTGCCTGACTATTCTGCCTTCCGTCCATGGCCTGGATCCTCATTCTACTTATCACTATAGTTATGTCTTTCTTGGCACCTGGGAATGAAGTAGTTTGACTAAACAAACCAGATGAGGAGAGTAGAAGAACAAAGCAGTCTTCATATTCTAAACACCTTATTTATGATGTGCCTGTGAACTTATTTATTGGACGACTTTTCTTCTTTTCTCAGGTTAAATTCACTAGTGCTGTGAAGCTTTCTGAAGGTGGTCCAGGGAGTGGAATGGAAAATGGAAGAGATGAAGAGGAAAATTTCTTCAAGCGTCTTGGTAAATATCATGCAGCCTAAGAATTCCCTTCAACTTGCATCACATAGAACAAAAATGTGATTAGGTCCATTTTCTTTTTCCATTCATTTTTCATTCTTTTGTTTCTCACATGTGTCTTTTACTATTATCTATAGCTTCTCTATTTTTTCTCGATTTGGGATTTGTTTCAACAGACATTTATAGAAGCCTTACAATGCTCTCACTTTCTGGTGGGCACTGGGTTTTCCGAGAGTCTAAGACACAGCCTCTTCTGCTGTTCTATCCTTTATTAAAATCTGAGAGCTTTTACAGAACTTTCAGAGATCTGTTTATCCACCCACCTATCCACTTAGGAAATCTGCTCCTTACATCCCTGACAGGTGGCCAGCCACCCTCTGCACACTTCCACTGAGGGGGAGTTTATAACTTTACAAAGCAACCTGTTTCAGAGCTAGATGGCCTTAATTGTTAGAAAATCTTTCCTTACATTCTGAAAATATATTTATCTATAAATTTGATTCATTTGTCCTAATTGTGATGCCTATTGCAACACACACACACACTCTCTTACACACACACAGTGCTAGTTCCATCTATTAGCCATTTCATGTTCTCTTTTGATCTCACTCATGCTGTCTAAACATCTTTGGCTTCTTTAGTTTTCCTTACATAGAACTGTCTCTATATCTGTCACCATTCTGATTCCATAATACTATGCATTCTAGTTAGATGATGTGCTTTACAAAATGTGGAGCTTCAAATGGAATGCAACACACCATACTGAAATTAATCAGTGTAGTCTTTAGTGTAACTATTAAGCTTCAGGGGTATTGCAAGTATATGAACACAATTTAAAATTTCACATCATATAGTTGGTTTGTACTGATTAACTTTTGCAGCTTTTCTTCACATGAATGAATATCATGATATACTTTGATGTAGCCATTGTTAGTCTTCATTTCATAAACAATTAAAATTTATTATTTCATTAACTTAGGGGGTAGTTAAGTCATTAGCCCTGGAAGGAAATTAGAAGACATAACCCAAACCAAGTTAATTTTTGAATCTTTTCTTGTTTACAGTCGGGCTATAAAGATCCATCTGCAGAAACACACACATTTCCCTGTTTTATCCAATTGAATAGGACAAGTAAAAAGTGATAACTTCTAGAGCACTTTTAGTTGACTTTGATTAATTAACAATTTCGTTCCACTTAATTTACTAGTAATCAGCACTCTCCCATCTCATTACAAAAGCATTATCAGACTTTACCAAAAAATGTCTCACTGATATTTTTATAACTCTATCAAAAGGAGGAATATGGCTTAGGTCAGCATGATGTATTCTTATGAATCTACAGGGGCATCTATGATTACCTCTGTCTTTTAAAAATATTCTTATCTATTTAATTATCTCTTAACAGAATTTGGCTATGGCAGTTATCAAGCTTATTAGTTTTGTGGTTTCAAGAATCTCCCTAATGACCAGGGCCTTTGTCATTTTATACTCTTTCCACTTTTCATGATATTTCAGAGATGATATGTCTAATGTTCAGAACCGTCAGAATTACAAAGAGATTTTTGTTGTGGTTTTCGAGAATAAAGTATGGAGCTAAAGTATATTCTTCAGATATGTGACATGCTAGCTGATGTCATTTAACTGGTGCTGTAATCCTGTCTCTAAGTTATTTCTTTGCACTGGAGTCTAATTTGATGAACTAAGGTTTAAACTCAAAGAGTATAGGGTCTCTCACATTTGATGAATATTCCTTTTTAATGGACATTTTCTGTCCACGATGGACTAAATGTTTGTGTTCCCCCCAAATTCATATGTTGAAGCTCTCATCCCCAATGTGATGGTATTTAGAGGCGGGACCTTGGGAGGCAATGAGTTTTAGACAAGGTCATGAGGGTAGCACCCATGATGGGATTTTAATGCCCATATAATAAGAGAAAGAGACATGAGCTCTCTCTGTGTGCACGTACCAAGGAAGATCATGTGAGGACATAACCATTAAGAGAGCCATCACCAAGAACCTAACCATGCTGGCACCCTGATATCAGATTTCCAGCCTCCAGAACTGTGAGAAATAAATGTTTGTCATTTAAGTTACCCAGTCTGTGGTATTTTGTTATAGCAACCCTAACTGGCAAGGGCACTGTACTTTCCCATTTGTGGATTTTTCCCCTTGGTGGAAAAGATGAAAGCATAATTGAGTTGTTTACTCTTCTTTTGATTCCCCTACATTCTCTCCTTCAAATACTAGGCCAATATTTTTATTCTTATTCTTGTTCCAAACATATTATTAATATTTCTTATAAATATCAGTTTGTTCTGGACTTTGTGTTCTACAGTTTGTAGCCATTGTTTCATGTATTCTTTATATTCTTTTACAAATAGAAAAGATCTGATATGCAATATTCATAGAGCCAGGTTCTAGGATGAGTTTGTGTAAGTGATACAGAAGTCTCTTACTACATGTCTAGAAAACAAAACCATAATATTTGAGATTAATTACCTGGAATGTTTTATGTGCTTTTGACTGGCAAGAGAATATACCTATATATCACTAATCTTTGCCTATGTTCTCTGGCGTGTTAAAAATTATAAAAGGCATCTGTGATTCTTTTGGAATCTCTTGCAGAAGGCAGGTATCTCCAGCTGTTCTAAATGAACCAAAACATTACCTGCTAATCTAAATAATTGTATTTTGCAACAACTACTGTCCTTGACCATGTGAACATCTTTCGATCTTTGATCCTGCTCTTTCTTTCTTTCTTACTTTTTTACTTTGCAATCTATGTGTATAAATAATCCCTAAGCATCCATTGTAGGTGTGGTGTATTCTATCGCTTAAATTATTTTAATTGCATAATTTCATTGTTTCTTTCTTTAAGATTGTTACAGAAAACAAACATCATTCTTACCCTCAGTTTGAATGTAGTGCCTGAACTTCACTGACTTAAGATAAAGTGCCAATATAATTTCTTTAAAATCTAAAAAATTATTCTACAAATAAAAAATGTATCTGGTCAACATTTAATAGAATTAATGACATTCAGAAATCAGCTATATTTTTTCTGTATTTTTATATTCACTAAAATTATTTTATTTTAGAAATCATGTTGCTCCTATTTGACGGAAGATGTTTGATTAGTTAAAGAAATGGTTTTTTCAACTGATCAACAAAATTTATTGTGTATCTTCAGTGTGTTCAGCTCTCATCAACTCTATAGGAAACTGTGCTTAAAGAAATACTAGTTTTAATCTATCTGAAACTTTGTACTCATAAATGTCATAATTTATAAATTAAAAATAATATTTAAGAATTACTAGATTTTGAAATTTCCCTTAGATTTAACAGCTCATAAAAAAATATATTCTATGGAAATTAACCTCAATTAAACCTAATGTAAAACAATAAATATTAAATCAATGCAACTAACATGTACTGAAGCTAAAAATAAATTATTATAGCCAAGGAATCCAAGAGTCATCCTTATATCCTAGTATGATTATATAAAAAATTGATAAAGAAGAGTACATTTTATAATCAAATAGCTTTTAAACATTTCTTTTAGTATTACAGTATGGAATGCCCCACAAGGTACAATTTTATAGTCAGTTTGTCATTATAGTACAGGGAAAAAACCAAAAGATATAGCATGTACAGTGTTGAATTATTTATTACATTAAGTTTTTCTAATGTAATCACTACCTTCAGAAGAAAGTGAAAGTCTGACCTCCTTTCACATAAGCATTTCAGTATTTCAGAGATACATCGGGTCATAGATGTAAGAACCCAGACTTGTGGTTTGAGTCCTGACTTTATAATTGTATGAACTTAGCCTGGGATATTTAAGCTGACCCTTCTCTCATTATCTCTTTGTTTCCGTTTTCTCTCTCTCTCTCTTTCTCACACACACACACACACACACACACACACACACACCACATACTCACACAACACACATACACAAATACACTTTTTTTGGTCACCTTTAAAAATTTATCTTATGGGGCTATTGCAAAAAATAAAAGAAATAAATTATGATATTTCATATAATACTTGGTACATACTAAGTGCTCAAAAATAGTAGCAACAATTATATTGTTATTTACTAAGGCTATGTAAAGTACAGAAGAAATGTTCCATTGTAAATAGCTTTTATTTATAGCATGATTCTTATGTCTTGGGCTTGTAGAATCCTGCTGATCATCTCCCTGTGATAAATGTACATCATTCTATGAAGCAAAGAATATAGGTTTCTGCTGACAAAGAATGTTTCGATCATTTCTCTCATCATTATTTTACTTACACTCCTTAACTGCATTACTTTTGAAGTTCTTTAAATCAAAATGGCACTTCCTTTAGTAAGATTGAATACATTTCTTTTGGAATTAGTCATATTGTCAGATAAATATTGAAAAAAACGGTGAAATACTTATTCTTAATGCTTCCTTAAATGAAATGATGGCAATTGTTTTTAATAAATGGATAAATAAGAATAACTTTATTGATCATCCATCATGTCTTATGTATTACTCCTATTACAAATTTGAGGCAGTTATCACCTAACATTTTAAATCTTAATTATAGTAATTAATTATAACAAAACAATTGGATTCATTAAAAAGAAAAATCTTATCATTTGGGGTCTCTCTTAAATTCAAAGTTTAAGGGACTCTTAAGGTTATATGTATATATTTTTTTAACAGATGAAAATTCTTTGATATATGTAGCTATTAAAGGGCTGATATAAATGATTAATAAAGTGACACATAGGGCCGGCCCGGTGGCGCACTGGATAGTGCACCGCTTGGGAAGCGCAGCGGCGCTCCCGCCCGAGGGTTCGGATCCCACGTAAAGACCGGTTCCCGCTCACTGGCTGAGCGAGGCGCGGGAGCAACGCCGAGGGTTGCAATCCCGTTGCCGGTCCCCGGTCCGGTACGGGGGCAACACTGAGGGTTGCGATCCGTTGCCAGACACGGAAAAAGACAAAAGACAAAAAAAAAAATAATAATAATAAATAAATAAATAAATAAATAAAGTAACACATAACTTTAAAAAAAATAACAAGAAGTCACCCCTCTGGTAGCTTTGATAGTGCCTGGTGAGTAAATAGAGTGGCATTCTGAGAGAGAGCTCTCTGAAAACAAGGCTGTCCTGGAAATGTCTGTTTCTCATCTGTAGCTTTCTTTTTTGTACCATCTGAGATTCTGTCTTTTGCATTTTTTTTCACGATCAGATTCTTCTTGTGGTGCTTCCTTTTGCGTTTGATACAAAATATGATACACTAACTGAAAAGAAAAAAGTATTAAAGGTATTGAATTTGGAATTTTAAAATATGGAATATTTACATCTGAAAAGGAAATAACTCATAAAGAATGAAATATAGGAAATTTTGATAGTATTTTAATTATATTCTTAACCTTATTTGTACTTACGAAAAATTTTAAACACAGACAGAAACTAAAAGGAATGGTCCAATGGATCCCAAATTTCTATCACCCACTTGCAATGATGATCAAAATTTTGCCATCTTTGCTTCATCTATCTTTTATGATTTTTTAAATGTGTTTTAAAACAAATCCTAGACATCACATCATTTCACACCTACAAACTTCTTGACAAAAGAGGTGAGAAAGCCATTTCTGAAAATCAGATCTGTGACTTTTCAGCGAGGACCAGATGTAGACAACATCCCAAATGAATGGTGATAGCACAAATTAAGCCAATCTCTAAATCAGGGATTCTCATCCTGTGGATATTCTTGGGTGTCAGAGAAACATTTCAGACTCAAGAGAAGGGGTGTGGTTTAAAGAACTATATTCAATATTATAACTTTATCTAAGAAAAATGAGAAATATATATCCTAAAAGCTATAGAAAAGTCAGGAGATATTTAGGTTTTTAAAATTTTTCTGAGAATTTTTTTAAAAAGATGAAAAATCAATATTTTGTGTTATTTTCCTCAGTGAGTGATCTTTAGATTTTCTGCATCAAAATCATGTGGAGTATTTGTTTAAAATACACAGAGCCCCCAGACCTATGGGACAAAAATCTCTAGTGAGAGGACCTGATATTCTGCATTTTAATAAGCTCCAGACTGATTGTCTCATTTATCGGTAGCTTAACTGCGGAGAAATAAGAGGGGGAAGATGAGTGGTTCCCAAACCTCTGACCACAGTGTGAGGTTAGGCTGGCTGCATCAGAATCTGCTGCGATGCTTCACAAGGTACAAATTCTTACACCCCCATCTCCAGAAATTCTGATTCTGAAGGTCTGGATGAGATTCAGGAACTCCCAGGTAATTCTGATACACATTCAGTTCTGGAAATCCTGATGAAATGATCAGCCTCTGAGGTCCTTTATAACTCCAATACTCAGTGATTCTTTGCATTGTAACTGAGAGAAGGTTTTTGCTTTCACCACAATGCTGTCCTTGATATCAATTTATTACAACAGATCTGAAACTGCACAGTGACTGCATCTTCCATAAAAACAGAAGTTGGTTGTTGATTACAGGAAGAATTATTTTAAATATACCAAGAGCTCTTATCAGTGTTAGAGAGAAGATCTGGTAGTGAAAAGATCAGGCCCTACATTTAAACAGCTAGGTAAGACCCTGCATCTTCATATGCCATGTGTCACCAAATTTCCAAAAGCTGGGATGTTCAAATCAAGCATGAGGGTGGAGAGGAAGGACGTGAAGATGAGGAGAAAGTTTTCAAGCCAACACTATAGAAAACACACTGGTATATCTTTGAAGTTCTTTTCAATTCCGTGATCCATTACACTCTCTCTCTTCCATGCCTCCACCATGGCACAACCCCTACAGGTTGCCACAGCTTCGACGACCATCTCTCTCCCAACCAAGATGGTGGAAAAAGCAAAAACGTGGTGAATCTTGGAGCGATCCGACAGGGCATGAAACGCTTTCAATTTCTCTTAAACTGCTGTGAGCCAGGCACAATTCCTGATGCGTCCATCCTGGCAGCCGCTTTGGATCTAGTAAGTTGTTGGAAGAATTTGCCTATCCTGTCCCCCATTCCAGTAAATACCGTTAACAGAGGTAAGCACAAATGCCCAGTCCTAACCCTAAGTGTGAGTTATGATTTTTTCTTTCTCAGAATTAGTGGTCTGGCCGGCCCGGTGGCGCACTGCTACAGTGCGCCGCTTGGCAGTGCGGTGGCTCCCGCCCAGGGTTCGGATCCCACATACCGACCGGTTCCCGCTCACTGGCTGAGCGAGGTGCGGGAGCAATACCGAGGTTTGCGATCCCGTTGCCGGTCCCGGTCCAGTACGGGCGCGACACTGAGGGTTGCGATCCGTTGCCGGACACGAAAAAAGACAAAAAGGAAAAAAAAAAAAAGAATTAGTGGTAAAAGGGGGAAGAAAGATGGTGAGGTGATAGAAAAAAAAGAAAGGGGAACAAATCTTAATAAATATGCCCTGTGAAGTGGAATGTACAGCAATGTGATAAAAAGTATGTGGGGGCTCTTGAGTAAGACTACCTGTGTTAAAGTCACTCAGACATTTACTAGCTAAACCTCTAGTAAAATGAGAATAAGAGTGATCGTAGTACTATACCTGCCTTCTAGGGCTAGTGGAGGATTAAATAAGATATTAAATACAGAGCCCTCATCACAGTGCCTGAGATATAGTAACTGCTCAATAGAGTAGGCCATTATTATAATATTATTATTAGTCTGTGTTTGCCATGTATCAGTCCTTTGTACTGTCTGAGTCTTGGTTTCCTTACCTATCCATTAAAGGAAAAACATGAAGCAAGGATCAGTTAAAATGCATTGCACAGGAGTGCTTTAAACATTGTATGCTATTTTATACATGTAAAGAATTAAAGAGTGTAAAGTGGATCTTACTTAGAAAGTATTTTTGTTTTTATCAGGTAAACTAGGCCCACATGTGACTTTTGAATTCAGCCTCTCAATTTCCTTTATTTACCTTCTGGTTTATAAATTCTTCATACACAGTATTAACACTAGCTACAAAATACCAAGTAAACATAAGAAACAAAAGTCTTTTATTTTTACTTCTTAAAAAGAGAAACTAAAATAGATTTTTATTATAATGGAAAACTTTAAGCCTACCTGTAAATAATCTCTTTTCCAGATTTTATGACTCATGAATAGGTGACTACTGTGTTACTCATATTTTAGCTTAAAATCATCCAAACCTTATAATGTAATTCATGAAATCTCTCTGTGACATTTGCAGCTTTTCCTCTTAGGCTATTTAGTGACCAGCGAGGTATGTGGCTTCACTTCAGCCTGAGATATAAATACTACTTATAATCACCCAAAATGATGGCTTGTCGTTATATAAGGTTTTCCAGTCAGTTTCCTGTTGTTGAATATTGGCCTTTTCAAAATTTTTTTTTTAATTGCAAAACTCTCAATGTGTATTGATGTATGCTATGGTGACTGGAAAATGTAGACAATCACATGTCTTCAAGAGAGCTGGGGCTGGTGGCAATTAAGCAATCAGAGAACAATGAGGAGCCTGTCTAAAGCAAGAGAGCTTGGCAAGGCAAGGAGCCAACCCCTTGTTTTCTAGGTGGGAAAGTGGAAATTAGCCCGTCACTCCTTTGAGTCATGCCTGGTTCTTCTTAATCACATCTTGATCTGTTCACAAAGAAGCAGATTAAAATAAATAAATGTAACAAACTCGTAAGAAAAGACAAACAATCAAACACTTAAAAAATGGATAAGTATGTGAACAACCAATTCATTGAAAATACCAAGTCAGTAAAGTATGCCTCATTTTACTTGCAAATTTTAAGAAATCCTTTGTCAATTTAATTTTTTTAATTAAAAAAATTATTAAAATATCCATAAATTTCTACTTTATGACCATCAGACTTGCAATGATTAGAAAGTATTGATAACAGTATGGCAAACAGCACTACACAGTCTTGGCACTGGTGTAAGCAGCAAGATTTGGTCAGGAACAGCAGGAAATCTTACATTAGCAGGGTGGTAGTGAGACACCAGTAAGAGGGAATTGGGCATTCCTCCATCCCTCCCTGAGTAGTAAGTAATTTTGGACTGTATATAGCTGGGGGAGGGGCACAGTTCTTTACGTATCAAATATATCAAATGGCAAAGGCGGTAGAAATAAAAAGCCTAAAGTTGATGTGGCTTAGAAGACACTCAGCATACTCACCTATAATAATTAATTAACTCAACGAATGTCTGTTGAGGGCTTCCTTTGTGCCATGGTACTAGCTGATAATGATAATGCAACAGAACTCAACTGGACAGGTTCACCTGTTTTTCACTTTTCCCAATGAAGATTATGTTTGTATAATGATCTATTTTCCAGACTTCTTAGTGTATGACATTATGAGGTTGATAAACTAATGATTAATATTCATTGTGTACCTACTGTGTTTCCCAAGGGAAAAAAAAATTGAAACTCAGAAAGACCAACTAATAGGCCAGGGCTACAAAGCCAGCAAAGAATATAACCAGATTGGATCCTAGGTCTGTCTTCAAAGCCCCTGTATTTAGTATTCCTCCATGCTGACTCTCTTATTAAAAATTATCTGAGATTACTTTAGGAATTTACTTTAAAACATGCTAAAATAATACATGCTGTGTTTTATACCTGATAGCTTAAATGTGGTTAAGAAAATAAAGGTGACAGAAGCTAGTTAACAACTGTATATTGCTACTTTACAGATGGTTTAAGCCAAAGTGCTACACAGGTACTGTCATGTCTATCTTTGTCTCAATCCTAAAGTCACAGCTACTTTTGGAAAATTACTAGACAAGTGAGATATCAAATTTCCAAAGCAACCGCTTAATGAGATTAAAGAAAATTCTAATAACAAATCATCTTATTTCAACTTGCTGAAAAATTGAGTGAAAAATATAGGCACAGCTTGCCATACAAATTGGAAAATGATAGGTGAGTAGTATTGGGGCAACTGTTAGTCAAATAAGCACCTGATGAGAGTTGACAGACTGTTCTTCTTCCTCTGGAAAGGTCTAGGCTCCTCATTCTCTCAGAGGTCATGAGTCGAAATCCCCACGCGCATGTGTATCTATCAAGCAGCTCTTTTCATTCACACGTTTTCCACATGAGAGAACAAAAGCCCCAAGAGCTGAGGTGAATTTGCTCAAGGTCATGTAAATTAGTTGGTTCTAAAACTGAGATCACAGCAAATCTTCTGCTTCCATTCAGGACTCTTTTAGCAACACCATATGCTTTCTCTGTTAAAAAAAAAAAAAAGATTATTTTAATAAATCAGAATGAGTATCTCTTGACACATAGAGAATATACTTAAATGTATATGGTCTCCTGCAATAAAGAAGACTGTGAATGATTTTTAATGATCCAAAAAGCATTTGAGTCTTGAAAAATGTTCCTTATCACATGAATACATGATGAATTTATAATAGGAAAATACAAGATATTTTCAACTTTAAAAATTCACACCACACATTCACTCTTAAAAGTGGTGATTCTTAACATTTAGGAACATAGACTCTTTCAGAATTGGATGAAAGTTACAGAAATTCTCCCAAGAAAAGTGTACTTAGACAAAATTTGGCATGGAATATCAGAAAGTTTATGGACTCCCCCAAAACCTATCCATGAAACCAAAAATGTTAAGAAGTCAACGTCAATTAGTGTATTATCACTGACAAAAAGAAACTTTTCCATTGACTAATTGGAGTTACTTTATTAATATTCATTGATGATATAAAAACAGAAGGAAATCTGTCATCATTGCTTCCTACATGGAAAGCCTTTAGGATTTATGTAAGATATGTGGGCATGGGAGAAACACAAGTCTTGTCATGAAGAGAGCAGCACACTTACGGATGTGAAAAATAACCCCAGCAGATCAAATTAGTATGGACTTCTGAATGGAGATTATTTTTAGAGGAATATTGATGAACACTTTGATAATCAAGTCTCTTGTGTATTGGGATTTTATTCCCTTTCATCAGATGATTCCACACCTATCTGATTTCCAGCAGTTATGCTGCTTACAGATGTAGTACGGGAGTTTCCAGCTATAGGTACACTCAATTCCTGACTGGAACTTGACTCTTACCATTAAAATGGGTTGGATCCCGCAGAAAACTTAAAACTTCTTTTACTTCACCAAAATAAGGCTATGATTATGAAGTTACCAGACCACTAGATTTTCCTTTATTCTTTTCCCATGAAACCTACTTTGGCCCTGCTGGACCGTCTCAATCTCATAAACCTCATGGTAAGAAACAGTATAAAGGTGGGTTTGATGCTTAAGCAGTGTCTTTTGAGCCTCAGACTAAAGAGGCATTTTCTGATTATTGTGGATGTCCACAGATGGAGTAGCTCTTTGTCACTAGACTGGATTCAGTGGGGGCACATGTATGGGGGGTTCGAGCTGTGGGTAGGTGGTAGAAGTTCCTTTTATATGTGACAGTCTTTGATTCTAGGTCAAGATCAACCAGTGTGCATAGTTCAGAGGTCAAAATTCCAGAGGTCAGAATAAGTCAAGGCTTAAAGGAGCCCAGTGGTCACCATTTATCAGGCAAAGAGGGAGATGAGAATCCAGGTAGACCTGGTTGGTTGAATAAAAAGCCATAGGTGATGATGGTGGTCATAATGATGATGTTGATAGCAGTGGTGAGGGTGGTAGTGTGGCAGAGGTGGTGGTAGAGAATAATAACAGTAACATTTTCATTACACTTGAATGAAAAATTTATAAAGCACCTTCACATTTCTTATTTTATTTGCTACTATGAGAGGAAAGGATCAAGTCAGGATATGATCCCCAGATAAGGGCACACTTAGAATCAGTTTCTCAGCTATGGAAAAGTGAAGGAACTAATGTCCTATGTGCTGGAATCAAAGTAGCATTCAGTGTTTACTGTCGTGTTTACAGGCGTGACAACTGCAGTTGTTTGTAACTACTGATCTGGGTTAGGAGTTAGTTCCTCAGGATGGCACTAACCTTCACAGATGTCTTGTGTGAAATATATTTTTAA